CCGATGTTATATACAAAACTTAAGGATCTTTTGCACCCTAAAAAAGTAAATGAAGTTGAGTTTGCAGAGGTGATCTCTGTGCTTAAGAAACACTATACACCTACCTGTAATACTACCTATGAAAGGTTTATTTTTAACAAAAGGGGTCAAAAAGATGGTGAATCAATCACTGATTACTCAGTTCAGCTAAAGAAGCTAGCATCTACATGTAGTTTTGGGAATTTTTTGGATGAAGCCCTTAGGGACATGTTCTTGTGTGGGCTCAAGTCTTCTCATATACAAAGTAAATTATTAGCAGAAGGGGACACATTAACCTTTTCTAAGGCCCTTGAGATGGCACTTGTGATAGAGAACGCTGACAGAAACGTCAAATCCCTACATCCTGAAAAACAAATTTCTTCTGGGGATATAGGTTACGTTAATAGGAGATTTAACCCGAATCATAGTTCTGCTGAGAGATCATCAAAACCTCAAAACTTTAGACCTAGGGAACCACAACTGGGAAAATTTTCTTGTTTCCGTTGCGGAAAGCCCCACGATACTAATGCTTGTCCTTACGTAGAGTACACATGCTTCTACTGCAAAAGAAAGGGTCATTTATCAAACAAGTGCAGCAAAAATAAAAATAAGTTTAGGCCTAAAGGTGATAGGTTAAACATGTGTGATGTTGACGGTAGTGATGGGAGCGAGGACGAACCTCCCGTTAGCCACAATTCTGACCACGACTTGGAGCTATACACTATAGCCTATGCTAATTCTAGTGCAAAGAAGCAAAGTGGTTTTGTAACTGAAGTTATGATAAACGATGTGCCAGTTGAAATGGTAATTGACACAGGCGCAGTAGTCACAGTAATGCCTGAAGATGTCTATTTTGAAAAGTTTAATCAATCAATGCCTACCTTAGAGAGTTGTAATGTTAAACTAAAGACCTATACTGGAGAGAGAATTCGAATCTTGGGCGAGTTCCAGGCCAACGTGTCCACGGGCCGAAGCAGTCAGCGCCTGCCAGTAGTAGTCATCGAGAGCAACGGCTCACATCAACCTCCGCTATTGGGAAGGAACTGGATTGAGAAAATACAGTTGGACTGGGACTGTATGAAACCAAATGGCTCGGACGGAGAACAAAACGTCGCAGCTCTTCGTCTTACGCAAGGTAAGACTGTTCATATTCCTGAGTTAATTTCGACATTGAAAAAGAGGTATTCACCAGTTTTTGAGCAAACAATAGGTGAAATTAAGGGTATTTCTGTTGATTTGGTATTAAAAGAAAATTCCAAACCTGTTTTTTGTAAGACAAGGAATGTACCTTTCGCATTACGTGAAGCCGTTGAGAACGAGCTTAACAACTTACAGAGTAACGGTATCATCTATCCTGTGACGAAGTCGCAATGGTCAACACCAATTGTTACAGTTGTCAAACCTGATAAAAGGGTAAGAATTTGTGGGGATTTTAAGGTGACAATAAATCCATGCTTAAGAACGGATTACTATCCGCTCCCCACTCCTGATGACATTTTTTCACAAATTTCAGGAGCCAAACTGTTTACAAAGCTTGATCTTTCTGCAGCGTACAACCAACTTAAGGTTAACAAATTCTCACAGGAGCTGCTAACCATAACCACCCACAAAGGTCTTTTTAGGTTTGCCAGGCTGCCTTATGGCATTACTAGTGCAGGTGCACTATTCCAGTCAGCAATGGATAAGATTTTAAACGGACTCGAAAACACTTTTTGTTACTTAGACGATATCTTAATTGTAGCAAAATCTACTGATGAAATGTTAGGACGAGTGGATGCTGTTCTTCAACGATTATGTGATCATGGAATCAAGGTAAACAATGCCAAGAGTGAGTTCTTTCAGGAGTCTCTGATTTTCTTAGGGCACCGCCTAGATGCAAGAGGAATTCATCAAAGTGAGGTTCTCACTGAAGCTATCGTAAACGCTCCTCGACCAGAGAATATAAGTCAACTGCGTTCTTATCTTGGACTTCTCAACTACTATGGCAAGTTTCTACCTAACTTATCTACAATATTACATCCCTTGTATAGGCTGCTAAATAATGACGTCAAATGGACGTGGTGTGAAGAATGTGAACGAGCATTCAGAACTAGTAAGGAACTACTGTGTAAAGACAATGTTCTAACCTTTTGATCCTAACCTTGAAATAATTGTTACTTGTGACAGCTCTAGTTTTGGAATAGGTGGCGTAATTGCTCACATCTTACCAGATGGTTCCGAGCGTCCGATTGCTTTTGCGAGCCGCACCTTATCAAAATGTGAGATCAAATATAGCCAGGTTGAAAAGGAAGCACTAGCCTTGATATTTGCCATACGCAAGTTCAACAATTTTCTGTACGGTCGCAAGTTCACACTGGTAACGGATCATAGGCCACTCATATTTCTATTAGGCCCTACTAAGGGGATACCTACGCTAGCGGCAGCCCGAATCCAACGTTGGGCATTAACACTAGCAGCATATCAGTATGAGATCAAATATAAGAAAGGATCGGAAATATCCAACGCTGACGCCCTGTCTAGACTACCCTGTGAAGGCTCAGAGGACGAAGGGGAAATATCCTTCTTCTCAACATCTAACGAGCTGCCCATAACCTATAAGGAGTTAGCAACAGCAACCAAGTATGATCCTATTTTGTCGAAAGTAATCGATTATACAACAAATGGCTGGCCTAATCTTCCGGACGATGATCAACTAAAACCCTATCTGAACAAAACAGCTCAACTCTCCGTTGATTCCAACTGTCTACTATGGGGCAATCGAGTGATTATACCGCCTACTCACCGTAAGGAAGTTTTAACATTACTGCACACTGAACACCCAGGTGAATCAAGAATGAAATCGCTTGCTCGGAGCTACGTGTGGTGGCCTCGGATGGACCAAGACATCGAAGAGATGGTAAAGGGATGCATGGTTTGTCAGACAACCCGGAAGTCAGCACCACTAGCGCCACTACAGCCTTGGACTTGGCCTAAACATAACTGGCAAAGATTACACCTAGATTTCGCCTATCACGAGGGAAAGGAATTTCTCATTATTGTAGATAGCCATTCAAAATGGATAGAAATTTTTTACATGCCATCTACAACAGCCAGCAGGACGATTGAGAAACTCCGACACTGTTTTGCAGCATATGGTCTTGCTTCGACAGTGGTGACAGACAGTGGCCCACAGTTCACCTCCCAAGAGTTTGGTGATTTTTTTAGATCAAATGGTGTTAGTCATGTCTTGACGCCTCCATATCATCCGGCCTCAAATGGCCTAGCGGAACGTGCCGTACAAACCGTTAAAGACGCCTTTGTGAAGCAAATGTTACAGGATGATAGAGACAAAGCCAATAGGTCATTACAACACCGTATGGATTCATTCCTATTTGTCTACAGGAACACTCCCCATTCAATCACGGGGCAAACACCATCCGAGACATTTTTGAAGTTTAAGCCAAAATGCCACCTAAGCCTTCTAAAACCGCACATAGCTAAACAGATGTTAGATAAGCAAGAAAAGATTGTGAACACGGCTAATCAAAACAGGGGAAATTTTCGGAATTTCAATATTAGCGACCGAGTGTTTGTGAAAACAGTCCGAAACGAAAAGATAAACTGGCAACCTGGAACCATCATAAAAATTATTAGTCCAGTTACGTTTCTAGCTAAGGTTGATGGTAGAACAAGGTTTGTGCACGCAGACCACTTGAGAAAATGTATGGCTCAATCTGATGAAGATGATGTTGTGACTCAATTTCCTAGGGAAAATTTCCAGCAGAGTCCGAGACCAGCACAGACTAAAACACCCATCAAGACTCCAGAAAACACGAGTTCCCCTGAGACAACTAACGGGAAAGACGAAAATCAAATCATGGAAGAAAACAGAGGTTTGACGACACACGGCCAAAGCCCTATCGGTCTCCGACGCTCTCAAAGAACTCGGAAACCACCAATCAAAATAGACTTGTAGACGAAGAAGAAATCCTCCCAAATTTATTTTGTAAATATTTTATTTTGTGAATTATCTTATTTGGTTGGGAGGAATTGTTATAAGGAAGATATTTTATTTTATTAATATTAAAGTAAGGAGTATTTTATTTGGACCAAGAAGAAACGAGTTAAGTTAGACAAGTCGAAGTTTGCTATTCGAGACAAGTCTGTGTTTGCTTAGAGATAAGAAGCTAACCCCACCACTACCGCTAAGGACAAAGGCGAAACGAGCAGTCTACAATGAGATCCAGGTTAGTGAACGTCTGTTCAGATCAGTGTAATTATTTCAGTGTCGTGTTTTCAATTAAGAGTCCTAATAGTATCTAAATATACGTTTATCGGTTTATAACAGAGTGTATATCAAAAAGTTATTGGTTTAAGATCAGTTCTGACATCGTCTGTTGTTTTTGTTAAGTTACTATCTGAATGTGTACAAACAGATTTTTGGTATTACATTTTTATATTATTATATTTTAAATACTAATACACAATGATGTTTTTCTTGATTTTTTGCAACATTTGCAGCCGATGCGCGACCGGAAGATATTAACATACAATACTATTATTTAAATATCAATTTCTTAGTGTCTTGTAGATGACATTTTTAACTATTAAATATTAAAAATGAAATTTTTTTTTTAATTTAAAAATTTCCGATAAAATATGAGTTTTTAATTTTTTTCCAAACTTTAGAGCACATGCGCGACCGGAAGATAACAACCAATATTTTTAATATTTTTATCCTTTTTTGGTCTTACAATTTAGCAGCTTTTCCAAGGTATTACAACTAGAAAAAAAATTATTGATTTTTTTCTACCCACCCTAATGAGCATTTTACAATTTCATGTTCAATTCAATTTGTGGGGGGCGCAATGAAGAGGAAGACCTACCTTCCCCCACAAGGTAGGTGGAGAGGGGCGCAATTATCTCTCGGGCCTATAGCGCATCACATGCAAACCGCAGCCATGGAGTGCAGCCAAGGTTTGAAGCAAGAAGTATTACTTTACCTGGTCTTTATCATCAAGCCGTTCTGTGACACTGTGAAAGCCTGTTGTGAGTATGTGGACAATGTATCGGTGCAGAACTGTCACTAAACGCTTACAATGCTCTTCTAGCCAATGAGCCAGGTAGATCACTGGTAGTGAGTCTTTCTTGTGGAACTGAAAACAGATACAAAGTGGTTAGGCTATTATAACAGGGTGTCTAGTTTATTTCCATTATAAAATTCAATACTAATTCCAGACTTTTCAAGACTAATTCCAGATTTTTCAAGACTAGTTTTATTAACAATTAGTGGGTGCTGATACCAAAATGTATCGATTCTCGATTCTTGATACCGATACCAATTTTAATAGCTTAACCAAATTTTCTAAATAATACTACACCAACCCCTGTCTTTGTCATAAAGTAGTATTATGATAATATGGTGTTTTCAAGTAAAGAAATAATGCAGCAATAAAAAATTCTAACTAGCAAATTTGGTTTTTTTTTATCATGAAGTCTTCCATGTACCGTACGTTTAGACATCATCATTGTCTGCAGCGGTTACAGAAACGTGATCGTCGTCCGCGATCACGGCAAAATCATGAACATTTCCCGCGGCCTTGTAGACATCAATGACATCATCGTCGTCTCCCGCGGTCTCAGAAACGTCATCGTCAACGTCCGCAATCGCGGCAAAATCATGAACATTTCCCGCGGCTGTTTAGACATTACCGTCATCTCCCACGGTCACGGAAACGTTATCGTCGACGTCCGCAATCACGGCAAAATCATGACATTTCCCGCGGCCGTGTAGACATCATCGTCGTCTCCCGCGGTCACGGAAACGTCATCGTCATCTCCCGCGATCACGGAAACGTCATTGTCGTCGTCCGCGATCGCATCAAAATCATGAACATTTCCCGCGGCCGAGCAGACATCATCGTTGTCTCCCGCGGTCACGGTAACGTCATCGTCGTCTCCTGCTGTCACAGAAACGTCATCGTCGTCTCTCGTGGTTTCGGAAACGTCATCGTCGTCGTCCACTATCGCGGCAAAATCGTGAACATTTCTCGAGGCCGTGTAGACCATCATTATTGGCTTTCGCGGTTACGTAAACGCAAGACGACGATGTCGTCAAAATCATGATAATTCCCGACTTTGAAATCAAATTTAAGACTAAATCCCGACTTTTCAAGACCATTTTGAAATTCAATACTAATTCCCGACTTTCCCGATTTTCCCGACTACTAGACACCCTGTTATAATCATCTGTGTGTTGGTGTATCAGTGCCTTTGATGATAGCAAGATGGACTATCTGAGGTAGCAGTGTCGTGGGTTTGAGGCCCATTGCCGCATCTCAAAATTGATCAGCACAGTTCATTCTTGTACTGTAAAAGTGTTACAATAGGTTTAACTTGTTAGGCATTTATTTTACAGAGAACTTTAAATGAACAACTTCCCTTATTTTTTTGTAACGTTTTACGACATGCTATTTTTTATTTTAAAAAATTTTTCAATGGCAAAGCCCACTTTTTATGATCATTTTGGATTCCACATAAGATTTTAAGACATGTTTACTCTTGTCATTTTTGTGATACTCCTAACTGTTTAGAAGATACAGCCATAGGAACCTAGGAGGGACATATCTTCGGGGCCGCAGGAGATGTTTAAGATGGAACCGGGACCGCGGGACATGTCGACGATGGTGACGTCACCACAGAACATGTCTACAATGGCGTTGTAACGGAAGGAAATCTCGACGATAGCGCCGTGACCGCGGGACGTGTTGATAGGAATTGTGATAGTACAGATAGTTTTTTTTTTTTTTTTTTTTTTTAATAGAGGGCCAGGCTTCAAGTAACCATGGGATTGCAACGCAGCTAGAACAGCTTATTGTGCACCCTCATTCACAGGTCCTCATTCTTTGTCAAATCCCAGGTCCTTTGTGAACCGTGAGATCCTTTTGACAATGGTGACCCGTTCTTCCCTTTGATCTCCAGTCGATAGGCCAAGGGATCTCATGCGCAGACCTTGTAGGGCTGGGCACATAAATATCACGTGGAATGCTGTCTCCTCCTCCTCTCCACATTTCCTACATAAGAGGCTTTCAACTTGAATTCCCATCTTGTGTAAATGTCCACGGAATACCCAATGGCCGCTAATAAAGCCAACCACCTTCCGCAGGGTCTTCCTACTCAGCCCAAGGGCTTCTGCCGCTATCGCACCTGTAGGTGCCTTCAGCATTCTCTTTGACTGTACATTTCCTTCTGTTCTTTCCCAGTTCCTTTGATGTTCTATGCCCATCCACTGGCGAACAGCTCTCCGTGCTGTGTTGTAAGCAATACCACACGTCGGCTCTGGACCCATGAGCGGGCTTTCAGCTCCTTTGTTTGCCCACTTGTCAGCTCCCTCATTGCCAGCAATACCTTTATGCCCTGGAACCCAACTAAGGATGATCCTGTTGGTCTTTCCCAGGGCTTTCATGGCTTGATGACAGTCCCATACAGCCTTGGAGGTAAAGTCGAAACTGTCAAGTGCCATTAGTGCTGCTTTGCTGTCTGAGTTCATGTATATAGTGTGGCCTATAAGACCGCGCTTCAAACACACTCTCGCACACTCAGACAGGGCCACCACTTCTGCCTGGAATACAGTGGCCATTTTTCCCAAACTTACGCATAACTGCACCTTGGGTCTGACTCCATATATTCCAGCCCCCGTGCCCGTTGGCTTTTTTGAGCCATCCGTATACCAGGTGATCCCCCTTTTCATGAATTCAGGTTCACCCTTATCCCAGGCATCCCTGTCAACAATGTTAACATTGTATGGTTTTTCTAGATCTGTGATCTTCACCATCCTGTCTGGTAGCATTTCCAAGGAGTTCTTTTGCACCTTGTCCACAATTCTTGTGTGCTCACTGGAGGCATTATACTTCCAGTTGCCACTACAAGCCATTCTGTAGGCTGCCATCCTTGCCTCTCCTTTCACAATGATGTCGAGAGGTGGCAGGTTTAGCACTACTTCCAGGGCTGCAGTTGGAGTGCCTCTCATGGCTCCTGTGATGCTAAGGCATGCTACTCGCTGGATCTTTTGTAGTCTCTTTACAGCGGTAGTTTGCATTACCTTGGTCCACCAGACCACCGAGCCATACACCATCATCGGTCTTGCGACCCTAGTGTATAGCCAGTTAGTCATTTGTGGACTTAGACCCCAGGTCTTCCCAACAGCCCGCCTCATCATCATAAGTGTGGTCTGAGAACGTTGCGTTATATGTGCCAAATGGCTGTTCCAGGTGAGCTTGTCGTCCAGCCTTATTCCTAGGTACTTGAACTCCCTCTTAACCTGGATCTGATTACCGAAGAGAGTTGGTACTCTAGCGATATCAACATTTCTCTTCCTTGTAAATGGTACCATTACAGTCTTCATTGGATTGACCCTCAGACCTTCCTGGTTACACCACCTCTCCACTATGGACAATGCCCTCTGCATGAGTTCCAGGCAAGTGTTCATAAATTTTCCTCTTATTAGTACAACAATATCGTCAGCATATCCTTGAGCGTACATGCCCTGTGCATTGAGCTCGGACAGGAGATCGTCAACCACCAGATTCCACAGATTTGGTGACAAGACGCCACCCTGTGGACACCCTCTTTGGGCCTTGACCTCTCTCACCGTCCCACACAGAGAAGCTTGCGCTCTCCTACTTTCGAGCATGTTGGCTATCCACCTCACTACAGTGCTTTCCACATTTCTTGACACCAGCTTTGATACAATAGAGCGAGTACTGGTGTTGTCAAAAGCTCCTTCTATATCAAGAAATGCAGCCACCGCTATTTCCTTGTTCGAGATAGCACTTTCAATCTTACTAACCAGCGCATGCAGGGCTGTTTCGCATGACTTTCCCTTCTGGTAGGCATGTTGGTTCGGATGCAAAGGATGGCTTACCAAGACCCTATCCTTTATTCGTCTATCCACTAATTTCTCCATGGTCTTCAGGAGAAACGATGTAAGGCTGATTGGTCTGAAAGCCTTGGGCACAGCATATGTATCCCTTCCGGGCTTCGGTATGAATACCACCCTTGAGGTCCTCCATGCTGTTGGTATAACTCCACTGGCTAAGCTGGTCCTGAAAAGACGCACCAAGGGGAGTATCAACTGGTCCCCACCTTCCTGCAAAAACCCAGGATAGATGCCATCGGTACCAGGAGCTTTAAATGGTTGAAATGCCCTAAGCGCCCATTTGATACCGTTATAGGTAATCACAGCCCTAGCGCAGGCCCAATCTTCTCTTACCGTCCGCACCCTAGTCTCTCTTTCTATCTCCACCTGGACTGTGCTCTGCGGTTGTAAGGATCCTGGGAAGTGAGCGCTCAAAAGGCTCTCCAGCACTTCTTCTGGGCCGTCTGTATATGTACCATCCTCCTTAAGCATTGTTCCTAAAGGATTAGCTTGACCTCGAGCTAGTACCCTATGAAGCTTTGCTAGTACAGATAGTGAGCACACATGATTCCGTAGTATTCAGAGCTAAGGACAAAGCAACAAGTTTGGTTTGGGTTTAGTTATCACAAAAAATTTATTGGGAAACTTACTTTACCAAGTTTATGAGATAGGTTTTTTGTTGTTTCTGAATCAGGCATCAATTTATTTGGTTGAAGTAGGGATAATATTATCACGTACTGTCACACAAATTAATGGTGCATCAATATTTCTAAACCTCTAAAAAGAATTCCCATAAGTAACCCTCAATCCCATTCTATTTTATTTTAAAATAGAGTGCAAGGGCTCAGCCAACCATGTCACTGGCAATTAAGCCCACAACGAGAAAAAACATCTAGATTTTGAAAAATCTATCCATAAAATATCTGTATTCTGTACAACCACTAATGTTCTACATACCACTACTTTGAGCCATTCTAAAGTATCCATTATACTGGTATGTGAGTATACTCCATAGAAAAGAAGATAAGAGGATTTAACAACAGATTCCATATACTATCTCAATAACTTACAATTAATATTGTTTCCATTCCGATCATGGGGATTAAACTGGATACCATAAATTTGACTCGTTCCTGCAACTTTATTTCTTTAACAGAGGTTCTAATGTGATAAACAACTATTGACTTACTGCAGAGTTAGATATAGCTTCAAGTGTTTTGAAAAGTTGCCGACAGCTCTGTGGGCCTTCAGGGTAGTGGTCCATAGATATCTTGTAGACAGTAAGTAACAGGCTCTGGAATTGTTCTGTGTTCATGTATTCTGCATTCCCAGCATACATCTGACAATCATCATTCATTATGACCCAGTCGAAACAACAACAAAAAAAGAATGTAAAAATACTGGTTTTTTATATTATTTACACAGTAATTTCTAGTGTTTATTTTTAATCATTTATAGTTTGTTTTCATTTTGTACAGAGTATAATTTGTTTGAAATGGAGAGTTTTCTTTTTCTTTTAATAATGATGAAAAGATAAAAATGAGTTTTAGCAAAATAATGGAATTAATATTACAGTATCTCAAAGGAACAAACTCTGTGTTGACTAGAAGCTGAATTAAAACAAGCAACTTAAATAATTTAATAAGTGACAGTATGATAACAGTTCTAATTTTCTGTCAAGATTTCTCAGAAACTACTGCAAAATAATGAATTAAATTATAACAATGTTGTTAACATAAAACTCAGAATTCTTGTAGGCTACCTCTTCATATCTGGAAAATGGCCAGCCTCCTAAAAATCTTGATTAAAAAAGTATACTGTATTTCTATTTAGGAATATAATTTCTGCATTTCAAGATCAGGTAATAAGACATGAGTCTAGAAAACCCCATATTTCATGTTTAAATGTTGACACTATTTGCATTGGTATAGGCTATACGATTTTGTAACCACGATTTGTAATTACTACCACAAATTCAGGGTGGCTAGTGAAATCACATTGAAAAATTCCCTGACTTTTCCCTGACAATTCCATGATTTTTTTAAACTTTCCCTGATCGACAAATTCAAAATTACAATTTTAATCCTAACCAATTCTTCAAAAGGACTAATCTTTATCTGAAGAATATCTTATGTTAAAAAAAAATACATAAAATCTATAGATACAGGCTAGCTTGTATTCAAACTTTGCAACATGCCTTAATAAAATTAAACTGAGTTTGATAAGATGATATGCAGTTTACAACAACATTTAATTTGTACAAAAATACAAAATTTATTTGTACAGACATATTTCTTAGTTTTCACCCACACGGCATAGGTACTCTCACCAGATCGACCTTTCCTAACAATTATTAAAATTATTTTAAACATTTTACAATTTTCCCTGACTTATGACAAAATGCCCTGACTTTTCCAGATATTTAATATTCCCTGACATTTCCAGGTTTTTCAGGTCACTAGCCACCCTGAAATTGTGAATGTTTTAACCCATAGATAGCTTATATATAGTTTCTTCCAACATCGACTCTCGATACTGCAACAACTAGGTTTTGATGAATCTTAATCCTCTATACCTTCATGCAAGGTTAGGTTTGAGTACCCTAATGTTAGTAAAGTATTTCCTCTTAACACGTTGAGTGCGGCATGAATTCAAACAGGCGCTTGCCAATGGAGGCGAGGCCCGGGCGAAGTCCCAGGGTGGCACCGTTACAGTGAACGCAATTGGCATTCAAATATTTCAATCTGAGGAATACCAAAAGAGCAGCGGTGATTGTACTACGTTACCCCGAGAATGGACGTAGTTCCCTGAAACACCCAAAGGTAGCAACACTGCCTGGATCAGTAGTCAGTGTCTTTGTAATGTGGCTTGAAGATAGAAAATCCCCGAAACCGAGACAAAAGTATTGTCAGACGGGATTTTACGGGAAATTTGTGTACCAACTTCACCAAAATAAAGCTCACATTCTAAACAACAGGCTAGCAACGATTACAACCTTCCCTGGCAATTCTACACTTTATATTAACTTTTTTTAGATTGTGATAAATTTAGTGGTTATGTTTAAACCACACGGTTGCTAGGATTAAACCGAAAGAAATATTAAGAAACAACATAGAGCACAGTATAGTTATGTTTCTAAAGTTAACGGTAGGCCTAAATGTGTAACTTTTTTAACACACCCATACTACTTTGTAAAACATAAAACATTTTTACGGCATATAAGTTAACTCGTAAATTGTGGTTAGGTTTTAGTACCGGTAATATAAAATATAATAATATTATATTGCATGGTAATCGTATTGTTATATTCCCTGGTTCATTCAGAAAAAATATACTTAAATACATTACAAGTGTCTTGAAAATAAAATTTCTTATTCAATTTTTAAATGACCTAAGCATACTGTTGGCATTGTACTCTTGCATTTTGGAAAATAACTGACAATGCCAGAGTTAAAAATCAATTTGTCGCTTTCTTTTTTGTAGAACTCTCTTTTTTAAGTATTATACCCCTGTAACATCTTTTGTTAGTCTGATTATAATAGCCTATTGTAATATAGTCTAATTAATGTCTAAATGAACAGTTATTATGACTCAACTTTCTACTAAGAATATTTTTTAATGGAAACATACCATTAGACTATTTTACAAAAATGATCCTGAAACATTTGTTGGTTGATGACTCAGTCGGTAGCATTTAGCCTCTTTAAAATAATATACTGTAAAACAATGTTATGAGCGCGACCCAATGCTGCACTACAATTTATAGTTCATTCTTTCCTTGGCTCGATATGTTTCACACCATGCTTGAAGCCCATGTAGGCTCAATGAAAAGGTTAAAAAGGTGGCTAACCTCTTAGAGAAAAAAAAACTGGTTAGTTGTTCGGAGGGATTAAGCAAATTGAGAACGCTCACCATGACGTACATCTGGATTTGTTGTTCATCAGTCATGACTGTCATCAGCTTGTCAACCTGAACTTTGAACATGGTTGGAGACAGAACGCTAGAAGACACACCTGCGCTTTGCTGCCAGTAGGAGAAGAGAATCTGCCCAAGCTCTGGATACTTGGGAAACAGGTAACGCTGCAACATATCAACAATTAACTAAACATTTAACTCTAAAACCCCAATATCTTTCTGTGCAGCTCCTACTTGTTTTTAATTTAACAGTAAAAACACACCTCTGCTATACCTGGCATCAAAATAGACAAATATGACTTAAACAGTATTTGTAACTTCCTTTCATCTAAGAACAGAATCCTGGAAGTAATGTACCTCTATATGAATCTTTATTAGGAGGTCGTGGTAATCATAATGGTGACGGATACAATTATTACAAAGAATGTATGAATACAAAGGGTAGAGGATTTAAAGACATATTTAACAGTTGGCTGTTTGGTTACAATTTTACACAAGTGTCCAACGCAGACTTTGAAATGCTATAATTAACATGTTAGGAAATCCACACACTTTAGGAAAGGAGAGGACACAATCTTTCACTTAGAAATCATAAGTGTAAGAGATAATTTAACTATAACATTACGGTGATTGGCAACGGGAGACTCATATCATTCCTTAATGTACTTATTCTAAATATCTCAGCAAAGCATATTTCAAATTGTTCCTGAGGTTTGTGTTGCCCTTATAAGCTGCTTATTAGATCAATCAACTATGTTAAGACACCATTAAATCCTGATGAATGGATAGTGATAGCAACCGGCTTTAAGTGAACTTCGTAATTTGATCAATGTATTGGTCTAGATGGCAAACATGTGGTAATGCACTGAATTATCAATCTTCTGATGAGAGTCTCAGCTTTGCCACTGAGGATGTGCCATCATAAAATGGCCAAAAAGTCTAGTTTTGTAAACAGTACAAATACCAACTTGACATGACTCTCACCGAAAGACAGAGATTTCAGTAATGAAACCGGCCACTTAAGCCTATATAAGAAAAATGTGGTACGGTAATACAATCCCCATTACAGTAGGCCTACTCCAAAAGTCCTCCCCTTGTGTTAATTGAGAAAATTTCACAGTGAAAAACGCATGAAACATAATGCGTTTCATTCAAAAAACGCAAGTGAACTCAAAATATACAAAGCACAAGTGTCTCTGGCTAGCAACTGGCTCAGACTGATGGAAAACATTTAGGAGATTTCACTCTTAACAACTTCTCACTAAACAATATCTCCAAAAAAAAAAAATATCGGATATAGCCCAGGGAATTTGTTTGCTACGTCCACAATGGAATATGACAAACACATGTTTGTTGAATATAAGAAAGTGTTTCAACAAACATGTTTGCCAAAAGTTTGTTCAGTGTGGCTGAACAAGGTAACACATTAGTAAAGTAGTTACAAAATAGTAAATTTATACCAGGAATGATAAGATTAGGTTGGTTCAAACAAGACCTTGGATATTGTTCTATGAGGCAAACTTTTAACCTAACCCAGTCTTTTGATTTGATTGTTAATAACGACAAATATCTGATTGTTGTCACTGAAAACCCAAAAGCAAAATAATAAAACAAATATAATTGAAATTCGGTTCAATTACACATTTTATCTAGCAAACACAATAAATTGGCATATAAATAAACATGACCTTTTTTTATCAACATGCATTAGGTTATCTAATCTGTGCAATTAATAAAGAAACAACCAAGGCTGTATCCCAGGTATAGCTTAGTTATTATAACACTCATTTAACACTTTTCATATACAAGCACTACACATTGATGAACCATGTATTGTATTATCATCTATTAGTAAGCCTGTGACACAATTGATCTCTTAAAACACACCCTAAATGAAACGCACAAATATAGTGGTGGTTTTATTTCCTTATTAGTTTTATTTTGCATAAGCCTTCATAACAAAAGGTTGGTAAAACATGGTATTATACTATTCATGACAGACGAGAAAACAAATCAAGAAAATTTTCAAATTGAATCAGCCCTTGGATTACTTTTTTTTATATTAGGCCAAAATGGTCTTTGAAAAACATAACTATAAAAAGCTTTATAAATATTTACAAACGGATTAGGCCTAGCTTAGAAATACTAACAACCTATAGTGCTACATTTTCAGTGAATTTTCCTATTAGAGAAGAGGCTATTACCAAAGGTAGCATTGTGGGACCTAGACTAAGACGAATTTACTTTTTCATTTTTATATCTTCAGAAGCCAAAAGCCACAGTGTGTGTGTGAGAGTGAATATGATAACTTGAGCAATTGTAGTCTGATTTAGTATGATGATTAATGGTCATGGGTAACATTCTAAGAACTGCTCATTTAAAATTACCATTTCATTCTTATTGAGAATAATTAAACTGTGTTGTTGTTTGTTTCAGGAAAATGTATTGACTTTATACTAAGTTTTTAACAATTTACGAAAAAACACACTTTTTCCCTTTCCTGGAGCAGCTGTATTAGAACTCGTTACACCTAATTTTACTTAAATAGGGAATAAATCTGACTTGTTCAGAGGAATATTTCTGTAAAAATCCAACCAGGCAAATGGAAATTTGGGGTTTTCTGCAGGTTTGTTTTACCAACATTTTAGAATCAGCTGCAGCATTATATAAGGGTTTTAATTGGCTAAATAAATTAACAATCATTTATTATATCAATCTTCTACAAGAGCTTATTTCACTGACCAGAATGTTTATAACAAGTAAAATATTCTTTGGTTAAAGGAACATGTGTAAACAATCCCTCTCACAGCCAATCAAGTGAAATTGCTAAAGTGGCTAATGAGTAACTCCAAGTGTTTAATCACTTCACTCGCCACAACAATTGTATTAATATCGTCAACCAGGTGATTTAGAATTTTGGCTAGCTTTAACACAGATTTTCATCCTCTATACTTGTTATTATTAGTTGTTACAGAAAACATTTTCTAATTCCACAAGCTCAGTAGGCCTACTGATGCTGCAACTTGTTAGTAATAGCTTACTTCAGCTACGAGCTTACTTTTACTCAAGCTCATTAGCTTAACATAGCTCATATTGCTAGAACTGTGGTACGAAATGCCATTACACGGAGAAAGAACCAATGTTTCATGTGTGACATAAATAATTTACTGAATTCTTATAAATGACGGAGCAAACACAACACATTATTAAAGCTGTTGGAGTGTTTGTGCTAAAGGGTTGTATTTAACAGATATCGCTAACGAACAGACAAATTGTTTGTAACTCATGTGCAAATATCACTGACACTTTTCAATCATATCTCCTTCCTACACGCTACTGACCAACCCAATCCCAATGTAGATCTTTGTCATCTTAATCCATTGTAATTTGTAAAAAATATTTATATTCACACAATATTCATTTATGATTACATATACACAGTATAATGTAAACTTGTAAAAGTTATGGGGTATTTTTACGCTTATTTTTTTTAACTAATCATAAAAACATCCATGACCTCCATTGTAGATTCATTGTATTTAAAAGTAAACATGAAACAATCTAAACAACTAAAAAATATAAGTAAAAAATTATATTTTTTAGTTTCAAGATTAATGTGTTTTTTATCATGAAAGAAAATATACTGTTGTATCAGGACACCCCATTAAAAGCTCATCAATGAGGGCTATTCATTAAGAATCTTAAGTTTTTTAGAAGTCTGTTGGCTGTTATTTTATATATGAGTTTCCTTGGGCTGAACCCAGGTATGTTGTTTTGTTTTTGTGCAACTATAATCAAAATATACAAACCAAATATGGATCCTCGGTGAGGGTTATCCTGACATTTCTTGGCTTGATTATCATTAATATTTCATCTACTAATTTAGAGTCATCCAAATTGCTTTTAAACCCTCTTAGTGCTACAACACCACTCACGGGAATGATATAGTTATCAGTTTCAGTGTAAGCGTCGCAGCGTCGCTGAGAGCAACTCTTTGTATTTCGTATAGTCCACAACAATGCTGTGAATAATTAATGCTCTGATTAAGGTGTCTGAGAGCTTCAAATGACCAATTGCCAATTTATTTTAGTCTTTTAATTTAAAATCATATAGGATTTATCACTGTTCGTATTTTTAAACTGATACTAAATGCTAAAAGGAAGTTTTTTAAAATTACTTAGTCAAAGTCCTGCCACAGGTTTTTAGGGTAGGCCTATAGGCCTACTATATATCCCAGTTGGAATACATTTTTAGTCAAATACACAAAATTAAATAAAAAGTAGAGTAGTTTAGTAGGTTTGATTGAGGATATTTGTTATTTAGACTAAGAGATAAATAAACATAATTTTCTTAATAATTCAATTTAAACATATGCAGTGGCGGCGATGAGAACCCGTAAGCCCCCCCCCCCCCTCCACCAAAGTTTATTTACTGAGCCCCCAAATATTCTTTAAAAACATTATCACAGGTATTTCCAACTAAGTTTGCACTTGAGCTTGGCACGGTATCTCAAGGCATTGAGGCGTCATCGTCAGTCTTCCACGATCACGGCAAAATCCTTAATGTCTTCATAGGTCACGGAAACATTATCATTGTCTACTGTGATTGCCACCAAACCATCTTGACATCTTGTGCGGTCGTGCATCATCACCATCTCCATCGATCACGGCCAAATTCCTAATATCTCCTTTCCGAAATCGCAGCAATATCCTAAATATCTCCCGCAGAAAAAGTAATGTCATCATCGTCTTCTGAGATAGCGTCAAAATCTTGAATATCTTGCACAGTCACGGAAACATTAATATCGTCTTCCACTATCACAGCAAAATCCTGAACGGCCCCGCGGTCGTGTGGACATCATTATCGTCTTCCGCAATCACAGCATAATATTAAACATCTCCTGCGGTCGTGGAGACATCGTCATTGTCACCCGCGGGGTAATGTTATTGTCGACATAAGCGATTGCGGCAAAAGCATGGCTCTTTCAATCAAGTGTGCTTGATCTTCGCAGACTTGTTCTGGGGTCACAATGTTATCGTGGTGGTAATAGGTTGACTCGAGGTCAATTTTCTGACTTTAAACAAATTTCTCAGATTTTTACCAAAAAAATAAGAAAAGAAAAACGTATAGTAGGGTAAATATACTCATGTAAATATTGTTATGATAGGGGGTATGGCAGGGTCCGGGTATAATTTCACGAAAAATCTCCCAGTCAAGGCTCTCTCATTGGGTATTCTCATTAAAATAACACTAATATAAATCAATTTTTTAAATGTTCCTTCTTGGAAGAGGACGTTAAAAATGCCACAGCCTTCCATTAAGCTCTACAGTAATCAATACCTTAGGCATCATTAAAACAAAAATGCAATAATAAAAATAGTTTTTCCCAATAGTTGCTGAACTTATAAAAATTATAAAGTTTACCATTACATTTATATAAGTCTGATAACTTGTAAACACAAAAGCTAGACAGGTCATGTTAATGTACATAAGTTAACTACCTATTATAAGTTTATGTAAAGTAAAGTTTGTACTCTAACCAGTAGTCTATATATACGATACTTGTTCAATGCAAACTTTGATTCAATGCGTTGATACAAACAACCACACACTTGCTTACAATATTTACAAAAAAAATCTAACTGTAATGAGTAGGCTACATTGAACAAAGTATAATAGTCCAATAGTTCAAAAGTAAATATATAACAATATTCTAGATAAACAATGTTGAGAAATATCACCCTAAAATAGGATAATATTGACTTTATTCTATATCTAGACTGGTATTGATGTAGGGGGCAGTAATTGATCAGAGGTATGTAGCTGTCTTTCAATAAGGGCAAAACAGATTCCTAGAAGTCTAGTAGAAAATATCACCTGGACGTGACCAACATGCTGACCAACAGTCTACTAGAGATAAAAACCACCCACACATTGTGCTGCTGCTGTGTGTTTCATGTTGATAACATTCAAGTGTGCTCATGTTGACTAATTTTTCTCTTTTATCGTAGAGTGGATTTTGGGTTTGGCTTCAGGCTACTAAAAATTGTAAATTAAAAAATCCCATGTTATTTTTATGGAGAATAAGTAAACTGTTGTAGTTTGCTTGATTATGGATATATTTGGATCAAACCTGGCAAATCTATTTATTTTATACTAAGCTACTAATATTTTACTAAAAAACACACTTTATTAACCTCCCTGTAGCAGCAAACCTAGATACTCGTTAAACCTAAATAGATGTTATTCAACTTAAATAGATTTAATTTAACATCAAATCAGGCAAATGGAAATTCGCTTGGTCTGCAGGTATGCTGCGGCGGGGGTATTTTATTATTATATAGCAAAAAAGCAAGAAATGACAACTAATTGGAATTCAACATAAAACGCCGTAGATTTCTTCAGTGATAGTAAAAAAAAAAATCTGTGTAACGTAATCTAAAAAAAGATGAGATTTTCTACTGGATTAAGGAGTAGGTTGCCCCTGATCTAAAATTTATTAAGAAATTATAAAAAAATACTAAAAAACACTAAAACGTTACGAGGTACAGTGTTTGGTTACACAGTGTCTAACTCTACCCCTGGTTAGCCAGTTGAAAAGTTACATGAATCAGCAAATTTCTTTTAGGATCCCAGGATAAACCAACTGTAAAGAACCACTTTGGGAGTTAAGTTTTGAAAATAATTGACAAGTTTCCCAATTATACAGGCTAAACCAAGCTGATGTAAGCTCAGCTCAAGTCACCCAGTGCTGGCTACTTAATGCTGAAGATAGACTATCATTCATACAGATTACATGCTGCCACATTGTAAAATATTTGGTTTGTGGTAAATAAATAAACTACAGTACCTTGAGGAACAAACAAAAGTACTCCAACTTAAATGTACGGTACTAAGCCAAGCTAGGAAGATGGTGAAACAACCACCTCGTTCCAGCAAACCTGTAGCCTAAGTGAATTTCTAGTTTCTAGGCTAGATTGAGTTTTAATTCAAACTGGTTCATGATAAAAGTACCCAATCTCATATTAAGATCAAAACCCATTGGCGAAATGTGTTCTAGTGTAAGCTGCTTGTACAAAAATAGTTGTTTTAGTAAAATTTTTAAACCTACAATAAAGTTAAAAAACTTGCCAAACATTTTTAAAACAAGCAATAATACAAACACATGGAAAATAAAATTGAAACGATCATTACTGAAGTTTGATACAAATAACAGAAAAAATCTGAAACGATTTATTAGTCAAATTTTAAAAGCCTTATAAAACAATCAAATGTGTCAAATTTATAGCCAAGCACAAATTCATTTATTTTCCATAAGGATTACCCCTACATCAGAGACAACATAGTGCTTTTTTTTTTTTTTAATGAATCAGTTTTGGGCCCCCCTGAAACCAAAAAGGTGGTTGGCCTAGTGATATCTGTGTGTGGACGTGAACAAAACTACAGACTATGCCTGTTACCTGATTTTGATGAAATTTGGTATCCGCATAAAAAGGAAAAACTAATCCATGGAGTTTTTTGTTTCTTTGAAATTCTGATTTTTGATCGGGATTTTTCCATAAAAAGACATTAAATAACTGAAAAATCAAATAACACAAGTTTTCATTTTGAATAAAATTTAGAATATTAGTCATTTCATCAAACAAAATTGTACAACCCCCCTTGCTGTACGGTACAACTTACGTTTGTAAAGTAGCCTAATTGCAACTTTTATGATTTTCCCCTCCCACCGCTAACCCGTGATAATTGTTCTTGTTTAGGTGAGTCGGTGGCTCAGTCGGTAGCGTCGCGGACCCAAGGCAGTAGTGTCGTGGGTTCGGATCCTGGTCACTGCCACTAACTTTTATCAGTACAGTTCACCTTTGTACTGTACCGGCTCACCACTTGCTTTGCTGGATACGTTCCACGCACAGATCTGTCGTCTATGTGGACGGGCAAATGCAAGGTTAAAAGAGGCCACCAACCTCTTTTTTTTGTAAAAAAAAAGATAATGCGAAAACTATGTGTCAGGTTGCTGATACCGTATATATTTTATTGATTTTAATGATTGACTGTCTTAGTTCCGCCAAGGTTCTAGACCTGGGGGGTCTAAACGAGAGTTAGGCCACTGAATATTTACAAAACAAATTGTGCTTAGAAATAATAGCAACTTTGAAGTAGAACCTATAAAAGGTTCTTGGGGACTTTGTAATTTACCTAAGCTTAACGGTAATGGAGTAGAAGTCTTACTCCAAGGAGCACAGTGAAGTGAGCATTTCCTAGCAGGTATAAAATCACTTACCACAAAAGTTCCAACAGACACTCCATTTTCAATTGAGTCTTCTTCCAATGTCTTTTGAGTAAGTAACTGAAAACAAAACAGTATTAACTACTTAATTGATGAATGTTGACAAAAGAGTGAAACCTATTCAATATAATATAGGCTACATGTTTAGGCTATAGTATGGATTCCCCTCTCTTAACTTTTGAATGGGTCACACCAAGAAAACTAGTGCACTTGTAATGTTGGTACTGTACACTCTCGACTATCCAAACCCCGGTTATCCTTGCCCTAGGGTTAAGGTGGTTTAGAGCCTAATATATATTTTAGTTTTCCGAAAACGTTCAATAACTACCGGTAGGTTATTTAACTAACAATTCTAATTAAAGTAGCCTGAAGTAAAAATATGAATTAATTTTTATTTGATTAAACTAACTTACTTGAAATAATCATTATATTATTTTAACCTACAAATGATCCACAATAACCTGGAAAATAAAATTACACAGTAGGCTAAGTTGGCAGCCTGGATGATGTAAGCTAGACGAGCAATGTGCAGAAAGTGTCAATAGCAGAGGCAATTCCGCTCGGGCATTACCGCCCCACATCGCCTTTTGTCAGTCTTGATGTTGACTTGATGGTGTCAAGTAAAGTATAGCTCGGGTTAAACTCAAAAGGATACACTAATTTGATACTTTTTGGAAATAGAAAGATCCATCTCAATGTGTTCTTTTAATACTGTAATGAGTTGATTTATAACAATTTTATAATTAACGTTTAAGGGTTATTTAAGGTTTTTCAAGATGATTTTATGAGTGTTGTGCGCGTTTGTTTGATTGTTTTCTTGAATAACACCACCTTTATATTGTTAAAACATATTTTTATGTAAAAAAATACTTTACTTCATTCATAATGTGGTACCGTAACCCCTAACCTCAAAATCGAAGCGGCCTCCATGTTATCCAAGGATCTCGGTAGCCTAGGAAGTCTCAGTCCAAATAACCTCCAGTTAATCAGGAGTGTACTGCAAGACAATTTTTCTCAGGGCCTCACACAATGGTGTAATTTAGATGGAGCTTAAAAATGTTAAAGCCCTAAACTTGTCAATGACACCTAATTTTTTACCTTTACAAAAGAGTAATATTAGCGACATCTAGAGGTCTCTCTATATCAACCTCGTACGACATGATGGTCGAGTATACATTTACATGGGTTTAGTTTGCCTGGTGCACCACATTAACCCTCCCAGTGTTACTTGACGAAAATTCGACAAGCAGCACACTTTGTGTAGTGTTACTTGTCGATTTTTCGACACGCAGACATCGTTTACGGCGAAGGCTCTATGACTGACTGAATCGGATTGAACTGGATCGAGTTAGGTATCGTTCTTTCCGTAATATTCTAAGCTTTCTCCAGAGGTCTGTCTCTAAGCGCTATTCATTTTAGTTCCGAAAATATTGTAGCAGACAGCTGACGTGCGTGTATTTGTAAACAGCTAGGTTCCCCCGGACCGATGACTGATGTGTTTTATTACGTTTATCATTGTTTTAGTGTTAAAAATCAAAAGTAGTGATATACGTGGTGCATTATAAGAAGATTTAAGTGGTTTTGAAGTGCTGGTTGATGATCCTGAAGAAGTAGGTAGTGATATTGATATAAATTATCAGCCAGATTCCTAGCTATGGTTAGGCTATGCATTCTTAGCTAAACGCTATGTACTGAAATCAGTTTTTTGCCCATAACTTATTTATTTGCAAATCTACTTCCTTATATTATTATATATTTGTAATCCTCATAAAATTTAGAACAAAGTGGCTATTTTCAAATTTATAGGCCTAAAATTTATACAATTTCATTGAGCGCGAACTTTTTTTTTTTTTTTTTATTTTCGAAATTATATTTTTTGTACCTAAAAATTTTTTTTTTTTTTTAAATGTTCCTTATGTTTTATATATAATATTGAAGCCCATGATTTTCCAAACAAAATGGTATATAGAACATTAGAATTAACATTGTTTTAAGCTTCTCAGATCCGTTTTAATAAAACCTTGCAAATGCGCCAAAAATAGGTGGACATTAAGGCCTAAACTATGGACACTTGGAGGGTTAAGAAGTTAAGAGGGGCTATCCATACTATTGCCTAGTCCTGATAAGTAGTTAAAAGTAAATCTTTAAGAACCTATAGGGTTTTGTCTATAACAGCTAGTTTGCCTGGCCTGGATTCAAAAACAAATTTAACAACGTTGAAACAAATTCTTTAGCATGCATAATAAGACCCCATTGTGGAAAACCTGCGATAAATAACAGTTTCTAGTTCAACAAGTTTTTCATCCAAACAGTCAAAACGCAAAAGAATCAACACTTAAACGCATAATATGTAGGCCCTACCTCCACCGTAGCAAACCAGCAGACTAAGCTCGCTCATGAAAGAATGAAATTTGCCTGATTTGATTTTCAATAAAATATTGTTTCCTTTAAACATACTTTGGATTTATTGCCCATTTAAATAACACTAAGTTTAATGAGTACCTAGGTTTTCTGCAATGGGATTGTAATAAAGATTATTCGTAGTGAAATGTTAATAGCTTAGTATAAAATAAATAAATATGAAAAATTTGATAAAAATGTATCCAAACAAACAACTACGCAAGCTGCATAAGAATAACATAAGGCATGGTAAATTGAGTTTTTTTTTCATCTACAAAATGGTTTTGAAAGAAATTCAAACATTTTATGTTTTGGGGGTCAATAAGGGATGATCCTCAAAACAAAACAAAAACAAAAACACAACAAAACAAGAAAACAAAATGGGTCAAAGTGGGTTGGGAATTTATACCCTTTAAAACTCATTCCTACAGTCCAATTACCTATGCTGGTTTGCAAACCCAATCAAATAAATGTAGGTTAACATGTTTTTATCAATTTTCATTCATTTGGTTAGCTTTTACTCGAGCTATCGTCCTAACGGATACATAAATGTAGATAGAAAAATAAAGTGACAGATAACTGGTTAACAAAGCAATTGAGAAACATTGTCATTCTTGACTTTCTCTTTATTTTAAACCATAAAACCACAACCCAGAGAGATAGACTCTCTTTTATCATAGATGCGGCTAGCCAGAAGGCCCTTTCACATTAATTACCCGGATCAGCGCATTTCCAGGCTCAAATTTTGTGATTTTTTTGGTGTATTTTGTTGTATGTTGACAGCTGCGGGGTGACGAAATGAAGATCTTATGACTCCTGTAGAATGTCGACGTCCACGAGATATCTGATTTTAACTCTAAACACATCCCTCGCCATACTTTTTTTTCTAACACATAACTATATGCATTCACAGTTTAGAAAATGTCTTCCCTATGAAGAAAATTATTTTGGTAAGTTAGGTGGCAGCAAAAATATACAGAGCTGGGACTATTTGTTTGTTTTAATGGCTCTAGAGGTGAAAAAAGTAATTTTGTAGTTCAAATTTTGTAATGGCCTATGTAGGCCTACAGATAAACTTATAATGTTTTATCTAAAACAACACTTGTGCAGCGCCATAACTCGAGCAAAAATTATCCGATTTTGATGAAATTTTGGTACAAACATGTAAACTTATATTTATTCGAACAAGTTTGCGAACCAGCATAATCAAACCATGAGAACGGGGGTTTATGGGGGGTTTTATGGTGTAAAAATAGGTTTTTCAAATTTTTGACCCTAAAACACAAAAATTCAAAATTTTATTTTGTAAAGCTTAATCAAACAAATAATTTAGTATATTGAAGCGTTATTGTGCGCATAATGGTTACGGACATTTCCAAAAATTTTTTTTTGTAATTCCCATGTTATTCTTATGGCTCGAATAAGTGAACTGTTGTATTTTAGTTTGCTTGTTAATGAACATATTTTGATCGAATTTGGAAAATATATTTATTTCTTAAAAAAACTGTTAGGCCTAACATAAAAAAAAAAACACTTTTTTACCCTCCCTGTTGTAGCAAATCTAAGTCCCTACTCGTTAAACTACCGTAACTACATAATTCTATTTAAATAGGGAATAATGTGATATTTTAAGAGGCATTTTAGTAAATCCAATCAGGCTAGTGGAAATTCGCTTAGTCTGCAGGTTTGCTGCGGCGGGGGTATCTGTCTATCTGTCAGTTCTGAGATTTTCACAAATGTATCCATAACTTTTGAACCCCTTAATCAATTGACATCAGACTTAGGACACAAGTATTGACGGATAGGGTCAACCTTTGTACAAAGTATCAGATATTTGAAATTCTACCAATTGAAAATGGCAGCCATTTCCATATTTGGGTTGTTAATAAGTTACCAGTATTTAAATCAGTAGCCTATCCAACACATTACCACCCACTGATGAAGCACAGGCTCTATAACAATAACAAACGCACCTCTATATCTAGGCCTACTGTTATTTTTAATAGGTATAACTTATTGGTTGTATCAATAGTTAGTTCGAGAAATACGATATTATGTGATGAATACCAACATAGGTCCACCTAGAATACTTTTGAGTCAACAGTCTTTGTACTTGCATCCCATTGAACAGCGCACAAGGCTTCTATTCAGTACAAGTTCTATGAGGGGACTGAGTTAGGCAGGTCCGCACTACCAGGATTTAGCACAGGTTAGAAAATTCTGGAGTTAGTCGATTCCAAGACAAAAGTCAGTAACTTAGGTTCCGCACAGCAATCGATTTTGGAGATAACTTAGGCCTATAGGGTATTTTAACAACGGCATTATCTAATACCGCTTAGGATACCCTATGCATGTGAGCATAATAACTCGTGAACATCGGCTGAAGGTTGTATGTATTCCAACCCGAGGGTCAGGTCAAGTTTATAACAACCACACAAAGACTTTACCGGTACCATTAAGTTAAAGGTACCGGTACCGATAGGCCTACTGTAGTATACAATAATCGGCTTGATAAATGGCTGTGCGGTCCATGGCGTTGTCCCTCTTACCGATAGACAGTGAAGCGTAGATCGAGTGTTGAATACCATCACGATCATGTTTGTTGTGATACTCATGAGGAGTTCACCTGAATGTGAAAGAGCTTGGAGTGAAAAGCCCCTTTGGAATTATCTGTGGAGAGTTTGAATTTTCTGTGTTCATCTACAATTAAGTTAAATCAGTATGAATGGGTATCACATAGCATAGCTAATTCCGACTTTGCAACTAAGTTGCAAGTTACTGATTGATATAGCCTAACTTAGTTGACAAACTGTTCAATTGTATTTCCATTTGTTTGTTACTTGATAAGAATTATTAATGGGTAGTTGTCAAGGTTATTCATTCACTTTAAAACAATGATCACTAATAAGGTACAATTCTTTAGCCTGTAGTTTAAGAAAGAGGTGAGCGCTTTTAAGCCCAAGACCAGCTCATCATTTGTTGTAACTGGCCTTGATCTAAACTGTTCTCAGGCCTGAATTCTTAAGTTAAATATTCTTTAATCCACAAACAAACCAGTAAATGTGTTTTAAACCGATGACAATAAAAAACAAACACATACCTTTGATAATTTATCGATGGGGAGGAGCTGAGATGGTACTTTGTCGTGTAGGTCAACTCCAGAATTGTTGCGCGAAATTCCATGCTTGGGAGATCCATCACGGCTATGGTTATTACCCATGACTTAAAATATTTACTATACCAAAATTAAATATAAATTATCAACTAATATACATTTCACTTAAATATACTACAGACACCGTCTCGCACCCTTCCCCGATTTTAGAAAGACTAACCATATTGAACGGAGGTTTTATATTGGCTTTCAAATAAAAACAACCTTAGAGGCCTTGGTGATGAGATTGTGCTAGTGTGTGTGTGAGTGAAGTGTAATTATTGCAGGTGCAGCTGGCAGCTCAAACAGCTGTTTTTTTAGTTTGTTGCCATGTCACTGTAGCCAACAAACGTTAATAAAATATTAAAGAAATACAGTACATGATACACTATAAACATGGCCACCTTTAAAGGCGTCCGTGCTATAAAGAATATAACAATACCCCCGACGCAGCAAAACTGCCGTCTATGCGTATTTCCATCTGCCTAAATTGATTCTCAATTTAAATATTTAAATTACATTAGGTTTGAAGGAGTACCTAGGTTTGCTGCTGCAAGAAGGGGAAAAACGTTTTTTTTAGTAAAATATAACAGCTTAGTGTAAAATAAATAAATACATTTGGCAAGTTTTAGCAAATTATATCAATAAACGAGCAAACTACAGCAGTTTACTTATTCTCCATAAGAATAACATGGGAGTTATAAATTTACATTTTATTTCGCTGTAACCAATAATTGTACAAAACACTTCAATTCACCTAAATTATTTAATTGTGTTTTTAAGCTCTAAAAAAATGGTTTGGAAAGAAATTGAGAAATTTTGTGAAACATATAAAAGAATTTGCACGAATAGTGTTTTTGGCCTCTAGGGATAACAAAATGAAAAAGTAAATCAGTCCCAGACCTAAATCTTACCGTGCCTCCTACGGTAATAGCTACTTCCGTGAAGGGAAATTCGCTAAGAAGGATTTTATACTCTTCCACTCCATCTCCTTCCTTATGAATAGTATTTTATTTTGAAATTTGTAAACATATTAGGATGAACTAAATGCAAAAATAGGCATTAATGTCATTTGCGGTTTGGTTTAATTAATTTAGGTTTAACTTTATATTTGGTTTAACTTGCAATTTATCAAATCCTAACTTGATAAATCCTGGTACACCCAGGAACTGGCCAAAATGCGTTCTTATAACTGTATCTTTTACAGGATTTCTATAAGACGTATACTGTGTTCCTGAACGGAAAGAAAGACTCCATGCCTTGTACGTCCAAACTAAAATACTTTATCGCTCTAAAGTAAATGAAGCAAAAAAAGCTTCAATGTGTTTAAAATAAAGAAGGCGTCCAACACCTGCAAAGCGGCATTAGATGGACATTGTAAAGTCTCACCGGTCTCCTAGACCTAAGACTGTAACAGCCCCTGATGGTTTCAACAATTATTTCTCCCAAATCGCTGCCAATGGTGTAGTCAACCTGTCTGTTTTACAGACTGACCTGGCGGCCTCCCTCCTAGATGTCTCATCTGTCGTCATAGTAAATTATTGGAAAAGATGAGCCCTAACTTTATTATTATTTATGGTGTTTTGGTGTCTCCTGCTTAGTTCTAAAGGCACCATCAACACCATCCATCCAACCATTAACACCATCGTGGATCCTATCACGGATATTTATCAACCTCTGTTTGAGAAACAGCTGTTTCCCTGACTGTCCACCCCTGTCTTCAAAAAAGGTGATACCCCTAACAGCTGTCTAATTACAGACCTATATTGCTATACTGTCTGCTCTCTCCAAAGTAATGGAGTCTGTAATGAAGGTACAACTGATTGAGTATTTTGAGTCAAATAAGGGTGCGCTCTACCTCAGCTCGGATTTCTCAATACGAAGCTGCTGAACGCCGATGTCCCTATACCATTGCATTGAACAGCGCCATGAAGAGCGCTTGCAAGCCTTTCGAGTATACTTGATTAAATCGTTATCCTTCAACTTTTTAGTAAACTGACTGCAGGTTCTTGTTTTTAAGAACCTATTGCACTTTTCCCGTTTTTCTTTTTTCTTTTAAAACTATTTTAATGCATTAAAACTTATGATAAAAAAACGCGTATTTGAACATTTTTTACCAACCTTTGAGCCCAATTTTTTTTTTAAGTTTCAAAATTTAAAAAAACGGGAAAACTACAATAACATTTAACGAAAAATATGACACCAAGATCTTTTTAATCGGTTCACAATTGGGACTACAAATAGGAAGAACTAAAACCCTTACATTTGCGCGCGCCAGACGGGTAGAGCGCACCCTTGGTTTCGACTTGGTTACCCAATACCCATGACATCATTATGAACAATCTCAGGAAGTACGGGGTAACGGTGTGGTCCTGCAGACAATTACCTCCTATCTTGAAGGTCGTAAGCATGTCGTCTCTATCGGCGGTGCAACATCTGGGAGTCCCCCAAGGCTTGTTTCTTGGCCCCCTCCTCTTTACTATCGTCATAAATTATTTATCTTTAAACAATCAAACCTTACTCTTTGCAGACGACACCACTCTGATCACGAGAGGCAGGGACCTAAACCAACTACGCACTGGTGCAGAATGCCTTCTTGCTAGAGCAAAGGATTGGTTCAACCAGAATTTGCTAAAAATAAATGACGAGAAGACTCAAGCACTGCTTTGCACACTCAAACCAAACCATCTGTGTGAGGAAGCTGGTTAAACTCCTCGGCTTCTGGATTGAATCCAGGTTATGTTGGAAACACCACATTAGCCAGGTGTATGTGTCGAGCTTGCCAGAGTGGCCTGTCTCCTAAGGAAACTTGTGTTGGTTATCTCTAAACCATACTTAGTCACAGTGTACCGTGCTCTTTTTCAAAGCCTCGTAAAGCTATGGCATCGCACTCTGGGACCATGCACCTCCAGTGCACGACATCTTGCTTCTTCAGAAGATGGCTTTAAGGGTGATTACGTCCGCCGGGCACCATGACCACTGTAGGCCTATCTTTAAAGACCTAAAGGTTCTGACCATAAACAACCAGTACGTATTAAATAGCATGTTTCTACTTTTAGTAAATTTAGCAAAACTTGCTCGACGTGAGAACCAGCATAACCTATCAAACATGACATGGCCATCTCCTCTTGACCTACCTAGATGCCAACTAGCCTGGACTCAAAAGGACTACCCTTACTACACTACTAAGCTCTATAACACGCTCCCGGTTAGAGTGCGCGAGCAGGATATTTGGGCCTTCAAAGACGCCCTGTAAAACTATCTGGTGGGCAGACCTATATACTCACCAAGTGACTGGACGACACACTACTTATTGGCAACCCGCTGCCATGTTAGTTTATTTTCATGTAAAAAATAAAAATTGTATTATTATATGTGAGGCAATCTATTCCAACTTTGTCGGTCACCGAGGCAGTATAAAAGTTTTTATTTGTTTGCCAACGATTTTTTGCTTTGAGAAATTTTACTGAGAATTTGAGGCGATCCAGCATTCCCATTGTTTATTTAAATAATTATTTTGATGATTTTTTTTATTTTATTGATTGGCATTTAATTAAATGGGTGCTGTGAATATATTAAATTACATTACCTCTTTTGCGATTACATTTTGGCTCTCGAGTCTCGGCTGTCAAGAATATTTTCTTCAACGGCGAAATCGTGATAATCTTTCCCTAGTCATGACGAAATTACGAACATCTTCCGCAGTCATGGAAAAATCGTGAATGTCTTCCACGATGGCGGTTAAGTCTAAACATTTCCCGTATGGCCACAGTCGAATCGTGAACAACACTCCTGAGGTCACGGCGAGATCGAAAACACATTATCAATGTCTCCAATGGGGTCATAGCAAACCCTTGAATATAGATGCACATCGGAGCTACGCACAGTTAAGCCCGTAATCCTTAAAATCCCCATCAACTACGCTGAACTCCGCACATGACCCGTCAGAGGTACCTGAATCTTCCGGGTTCCTCCTCAATGGTTTTCTACCGTGTCATTCTCCTACACAACATTACATTGGCGAACCTTAGAGTACTTGAATGGAATAAAATACTCAATCGCTTACTTATTATCAGATACTAGCCGCTATACTCGCTATATTACAGTACTATGATATCTAGTACGATATACAAGTGGTGTGGATGCACTTACGAATATACTGTAATAATTGGTAACAGAGCCCATTAGTGGCACTTTAAGTAACTTGTTCCACAGTTTCAATGGATTCACATTTTCACTCTTACCATTGATAATAATAGTTGTTGATCTACTGTATGGAACTTAAAGTTTAAATTGCTGCTACATTCCTATCCTCTAAATAGGCTACTATATTAGAGTTTAATAGAGGAATCATGAAATCACCAATTAGTGAACAATGTGCCGTAATTATTTTTAGCAACCGAGGACTACCATACCTCTGCGCTCTATTGAGAGTTTTAGAATTCGTACTTTGCACCCGATGACCAGTCTAATCACACTTAGGACTAATGACCGGGGAATTACACTTTTATGTGTCAACATATTATTTCTTGATGGGTAGCCTCTGGACCATACAGCAACAATAATAATGGTTTAGTTTACCTCTGTCAATATGGTCCTTGCGTAGTTTGTCACTACTGCAGTTTCGTGCTCGTGGAGCACATCATCAGGTGAAGGTCACAAAAAGTTAAAACATTTTCCTTACGTGAAGGTCGTCAATTAACACACCGAAAAAACACATAACACACGAACGGTACGAAAAAACATTTAACTTGGCCAATACATTAAAGACGTTACACACGGGGTCCGGCGCCGGTAGAAGGCAAGTCATGACTATATTAATGTATTGGCCAAGTTAAATGTTTTTTCGTACCGTTCGTGTGTTATGTGTTTTTCGGTGTGTTAATTGACGACCTTCACGTAAGGAAAATGTTTTAACTTTTTGTGACCTTCACCTGATGATGTGCTCCACGAGCACGAAACTGCAGTAGTGACAAACTACGCAAGGACCATATTGACAGAGGTAAACTAAACCATTAATATTATTTCTCAGTTACTGTGGACTATTGCTCAGTTGCTGCTTTGAAGGCTAACTGTTAACATTGTCTGTTACTAGATATTCAATTTTAGAGGTGTACGATAAGTTTTTAGTTATTGTTTTATAATATTTAGCCTAGTTTTGATTCAATAGGTTAAGTAGGAAAACTTAAGCTATAATGTTTTAAGCTTATAGTAATAGAGGTGCTGTTAATGTCTTAAAGGGGCATTTTGATTACCGACCACTCGGGATTCTAAAAAGTGAAACTCAATGGTACGTATTCTATTCTATTTTACTACAATATGCCATCATTATCTAAAGGCTGAATTTGTAAAAAAAAACTCGTCGCCAGCTAGCAATCATAAAGATATCTAACTTCTGTAATTATTAACATAAACGTATTTAGATATGGGAATACATAGATCTCTTTCCTCCCTTTCGTCTAGGCTGCTCGAATAGCGGACTTGTGTCAAAACACCAACGCGTGCGAGATATTCCACTCTCGGTGTAGCAATGACAATAATTCTTTGTCGCACCAAATGTGCTTTTTTCATTTTTGAAAATTTCGAAATCGATGCAATCAGACGCTTATGTGTGGCTAAACCCAACGGAAGTCCCAAAAAGTAGGAGGAAGACCTACAGAAGAGGACTTCCTTTTGAAATTATCGACCAATTAAATAATGAACAAATAGATTTGTTTACTATGTAATGTGCATAGGATACAAAAATCACTACTGTGAAGGTATTGTATGATGACAAGTTAGAGTTAGACGTTATTTTATTTGTCACCATTTCCCTAATTAGTCTCAATTCGCCCACGGTCCCAGATTATCCCTTATAATCCTCAGGTGTACCTGTGTCAGGAGTCTCATTCCATCCACGGAGGTGAAGCTCCGCCTCCTAGGTACCCACCCTCCCCCAACTATGACCCCATGGGAGGGCTGGAACTGCACTCACGGTCAGTCCCTGGTCCTAATCCAACTACGCAACTGCACTCACTGTCACTTTGAGCCTTTCTGGGGGTACCGGAACTGCACTCACGGTCAGTTTTTAATTAGCCTATATCACATTGTGCAACACCATGATTGAATTGATTAAAACTTATTCAATAAGTTGAAATATATTGAAAAGTTTTGATTAAATTAATCTAAACGTCAACAAATAAACTTACTACTGACATTGTAAAAAATACACATATATATGTGCACAGAAAATTCTAGCATAGTATTTACGATAACATGATAGGCTATATTCTTATTATATCGAAGCTTCTTTTGTAAAGGTTAGGTTAGGTTAGGTTAGGTTAGGTTATTTATTGTTGTATTTATTGGGACAGACACTAAAACGTGTATTAAATAAAGTATTGGATAAAGTAAGACAGAGGACGGAATAAACAGATGACTAAGGGGCTAGCGAAGCGTTCAGCCGTGAAAGACCAATTTTTGACCGTGAGTGCAGTTCCATATGGCTTAGGCGGGCTACCCTTCCAACCCTTGTAAATTCCTTTGACCGTGAGTGCAGTTCGTTGTCAGCCGACCCCATCACCTTCCACCTCCGACTACACGGTTATTGAAGCTTAAAATATTTGTTAGACAAACCAAGCGAATTTCCTTTATAGTATTAATGTAAAGTCGGAACACAAAGATCTCAGCATTAAAATATAAAGTGGCATTGTGTCCTTATTGATTGGTTAAGTTAAGCTGAAATAAACAAAACAGAATACAGGAATACTAACAAATAATCACACCTGAGGTAATAAATTGAAAAAACAACAAACAAATAAGTACAGCTGAGGTATATTCGCATAGTATGAAACATAACGTCGAGGAAAACATCTATTACTTATTTAATACGCAAGCAGGTTTTTTGTGATAGTTACTGCTCCGAAACTACTTAATAATGTTGTTGTAATTTTTTTAACGATTGACATGTTTTTGGTGTCATTGGGAAGAGCTTAACGTGAAGTTGTGCAGGAAACTTTCTTTTTAGGGGAATAATTAAAGAGTGAGGCCCTGGGGCCCTATAAAGTTTCGTATTTCTCCATAAGATTAACATGGGAAACAAACATTGTTATGAAACTCCAATGTTGTCCACCTGTTGTCAGAAATTAAAAGTGGGAAGAAGAACATATGTTACACAAGCTGAGAAAAAAGGTTTTAAAGAAACGTGCTTGCCTTTTAATAGATGTAGATAAATTCTGCTTTCACTGAAGCGATCTAAAAAACCATTAACTTACAATTTTCAGAGCTGCCGCGTGAAAGATAATTTGATTCTTAATTTGTTTAAATATAACAATAATTTGTTTTATATTTGAGCTTTTTAGGGACATGTCCCTAGTCCCTACATGCCACTAGTTATGTTTAAATTTGAGTAGGTAATTCTAGTTTCTATCTTAGAGTTGTTTGAAAACTTGTGAGAAACTAATTTTAAATATCTCTATTTGCGTCATCAAGGATCAAGTACATTATTTCTGCTCTAAGTTTTAACTGATAACTTCTAATAAATGCTAAACACCCTGTTTCAATTCGAGTTAACATGTTGCAACAAAGTTTTTCCAGCATTAAGAATTGAAGAAAACTGTTGCTTTACTGAGATAACCTGTGTTAAATATTTTAAGTAGGGTAATTTCTTTATTTATCTCTTTGATTTGAGACATCCCCTAAGCCAACGAATTTTTCTCCGTTGGGAATCCTATAAAGTGGGGTGATGTCAACAATTTCATGTGGTCCATGTTTGACCCACTAACTCTGGGTTAAAACACAACCACAATCCGCTTTTAATAGGCTAAAGCAGAAAGCAACAACACCATTGAAAGTTGATAAACTTATTTTAACGTGTTGTCTGTCAGTCATAGTATATACCCCGCATCAGATCATTCTCACGTTGTTCAGTGGAGTTTCTCCTAATACCTGTCCCAAAGTTTTGAAATTATGGATTAATTTGTCAAAAAAGGTTGGATAACTCTTGTAGCTGTAAGATTTGGATATCAATTTTAATTTACTCTCTTTGAACAGCGTATATTATTTGAATCCCCTAAATTATAAAAATAAACTTGACCGTAACAACTCAATCGTTGAATACATCATTGAATGGATCGCAATGTTATCGTATGTTTCTGTTTGTTGTTAAACGCTATAATCCAAATAATTTAACTTGCTTATTAACGAACTTTAGATGGGGAGACAATCATACAGTAACTAACAGCACATGGGTAGTAAATTTTATTAATCTATTATGTCGTAAATATAGATTACTGTTGAAGCTTTTCAACCCAAACGAATGTTCCAGATTATAAACATTTAACATATCTTTATAACGGCTACATAAATAAGGACATATACCACTTTATATTTTAATGCTGAGATCTTTGTGTTTCAACTTTACATTAATACTATTAAAGGTACCGGTATTCGCTTGGGGAGGGCATTTCCATATTTGGGGGAGGGTGAGGTCCTTGGAGGCGGGGGTTCGCCTCCGTGGATGGAATGAGAATCCTGACGCAGGTAGAGCTGAGGATTATAAGGGTTAATCTGGAACCGTGGGCGAACTGAGACTAATTAGGTTACGGGCGAATTGAAACTCGGGCGGAATAGGACTACACGTGCGGGGTTGTGTCGATCTAAATTTTGGCGCGTGACTTGAGTGCGCCCTATATATACATATCAATCCTTGTACTGTACCGGCTCACCCGGCTCACCCTTTGTTGAATATAAATACGTTCCATGCACAGATCCGTAGCCTATGTGAATGGGCAAATGCAAAGGTTAAAAGAGGCTGCCAACCTTTTTAAAAAGAAGAAAAAATGTGATTTGCCAGTACCTCTTTCTGTGAAGGTTGTCACCCTAGCTATAGAGAACTAAAAATTAATTTTGCATCATATCTCAGAATGCATCATTATCTACCATCCGTTTGTGATGAATGAGCGGTGTGGGCTCATTTGAAGGTCTTAGTCAGAGGGGACCACCTCCAAATTACAGATTTTCTACGTCATATCACAGGTTATAGTAGTACGTTTTCTGTGGTCATATTCTCCTTCTAAAAATGCAACCTAGAAAAAATACGAATTTAGATATATGAAAAATGTAAGTAGGCCTATAATGTGTCCCACAAAAAATGTATTACCATGCAGTAAAATATTTCTTACTTCATGATAAAATTATCTGACATACCTACATAATATCCACATAAATTAACTACTACTGTGGTCCTTTCAAGTAAACATAAATTATTTAGGTGTTATACATTTGTGTACATGTACATGGATTTTACCAATTTAACTTTTATTTTTGCACAACTAAAACATACTAAACCTCTCTTAAAACAGTGATTATAGCAGTAAAGTAAAATTAATATATGTATATGCTGATTGATCAGTATAAAACAGTGCTTAGATAGGCATTTGAATATTTATTGCAAACTGTAGAAGTAGAAAACTGAAACCACAGAGCGAACCTGGACTATTCATTGTAATAACCAACCTTTCACGTGGCACGAATGAATAGGCCTACGTCACCCAGGACATCACGCAGCATGAATACAGATATTTCTTTAAATTAATGGATCATTAACACTTATATAAAACAAAAAAAATGTTTTCGTTCATTAGCAAATGATAAACCTTAGTTTGATTTCAGATGAGAAGATACAGTATATCGAAACACTAATAAAGTGTGTGTAACTTTGCAGCTTAAAAAAAAACTTTTAATGTGAGTCTTAAACTATGATTTTATAATATTCTTGTTCAAATTGGGTTTGATATCAAGTGCCATTATACAGGTCTAAAACAGATCCACGACCTTCTGACATTATGAGCTTCTATAGATAAGCTTACATCAGAGCTGTAACTCAGAGCTGTGTTTATTCATTTCTCAAGATAGCATTTTCTAGTACCATTGAGAGCAAAACTAACCCTTGTAAGTAGTACCTTTATAGATATCATAATAATATGCAACAATATATCATTCAAAATAGAATCTGTTATTTATTAAACTTGTTTGGCCTAGTTTATCCAAGAAATCGTAAGCCAATACTGTAAGATATTTTTACAACTTAGAAGTGTAGCCAACAAATATTATAAAATTTAGTTACCATAGCTAAGATAAAAGTCAGAGTATTATTATTTATCTGTAATATTAAAAGAAATTTTATAGTGTTCAAATTAAATATTAATTTGTTTTTAAAAGTTACAATCAACACCAGTTTTTACAAACCATCTGAAAACCCTTCCAGAATTAATTTGTTACTGTAGTAAATAAAATACACCCACCGCAGTTAACCTGCAGATTAAGCGAATCTCCATTTACTGGTTAGATTTCCACTAAAATAATTACCTGAAAACTGTCAGATTTATTTCCTATGACATTAATTTTAACGAGTGCTTAGGTTTGCTGCTACAGAGAAGGTAATGGTGTGTTTTTAAATGAAATGTTGATATCTTAGTTTGAAACCAACAATATTGCCAAGTTTTATTTAAAAATATCCATAAACAAGCCAACTAAAAGAGTTTATTTAGTCTCTATAAGAATAATATGGGAATTATAGTTAATATAGTTAATTTAATATATAGTTTATAATATATAATTTAATATATTTAATATATAGTTAATTTACATTTTCCCCAGTTACAGTTAGGCATACAACAACGCTTTAATATACAAATTATTTCTTTTTTAAGCTCTAAAATAGTTTAGAAATAAATTGTGGCATTTTATGTTTTCAGCTTCAAAATGGGGAAAATGTTTACCCCCCGGTTCACAGGGGGACATAATTATTGCATGATATTTTTTTCATTTTGAGTTGGTCAGTATAACAATTTTTTATTTTTAAGAGAAAACAAGCTGTTATAGAATTATGTCTTTGTGTGTGGACATGCATGTGAACTGTATGGTACTCTAGCCTCTCATTCTGGTGCCTTGCCACATGCGACCCGTGCTGCTAGCGACCCAAAGATTTGGGCTGGAAGGTCAGGGATGTAATTTTCAACCCTGATGTAGTTGGCATGATTAGAAAGAAAGAAATTCTCCAGAAAAAAAAAATTATAAGAAATATTCTTTAAAATAACGAGGGAAATGTGGAACAAAAATGAGAAAGGTATTTTGAAAGGCTCGACTTAAGAATGAATGATTTTCGAAGAGTTTAAAAAGAGGACTCACTTAAAGAAATGTTTGAGCGCATTACTGTATGTAGTTAAATTGGAATATTGTCACGGCAATGATACAAAACAATTGTACAGTATAAATAGCTATTTTAAGTCAAGGTAAATCTGTAATTTCAATGTTTTAAAAGTTGGAAATAAAACAAAAAAATATTTAAAATGTGGTTGCTTAGTCCAACGTCAAAACTCATCTTGGTACAAGCTGGAAACCAAGTATAACCCCTCATACCCGACCATGACGGGAACGGGTCATGGTCGTGAGGAGTACGTCTGATCTCCGCGACATCGGTATCGTCTCCCGCGACAGTGGCAACACCCGAAGGCGGGGACACGCTTGTCAAGTCCGATCCTACTACGATCCGATTTTCGGGATTCCAGAAGGATCGGTGCGGGATTGGAGGGGGTGAACCATATGGTTCGATGGGGTGAACACACATGTCATATACGCTTCCGACCCATCTCCGATTTCCTCCTCTGGGTCGATCAACACTCGCCAGTCTGATTTGTAAACTACGTGCAGAAGGTGAAAAACATGTTCAAAAACTTAAGTCAGACATCTCTGGAGGGCAGGAGAAAACGGATAATTTGGGTCCATACTGCATGTAAGGAAAGTTAGGTGGAAGGGTCCATCTTATATATTAAACACTTAGGTTTTTATCTCTCGAGTTCGTTTGGCTCTTCTACCCGTCCGATTTTCATGATTGAGGTCTCGAATTAAAGGTATGCACGCACAGATTTAAAATCAAGCATCGGCATATATTTATCTTAAACCATTGTTCCTAACCCTCGATTATTCTTATACCTTAAGAATACAAGTGATTTTTAAGAAACAACCCGTCCTGCATCCAACAAACGAATAGACTGCAGTGTCGGTGCGTGATCGGAGTCAAAATCGGAGTATGGCGTGACACGTGTCGGAGAGGTGTAAACACCGGTGTTCAAAGTTATGTACCATTCCTCTCTCCGACAGTCGTACCACAGTATGATCGGAGTCGGACCGGAAGGGTGTATGACAAGTGTGTCCCCGCCTTTAACGGCAACATCCGCGATCGGCCTTTCGGTTTATTATGTTAATTCAGATCATCTCTCTGCCCACATAGAGCTCTGATAGACGGAACATCCGTTCACTTAGATTCTAATGTAGACGTCTCATATACATGCAAATCAGATCGTAGGTAAATAACCCAACCAAAGTGTTCTGTTGACAGAGTTTAAAATCATTCTATACTACATGATTTTTTTTTTACTATGATAGTTGATAGGTATGGCATAAACGGTGTTACAGTTAATCATACGTTGTCGTTTCGGTTTACCTTGGTTAAAAAGTAGTCGTATTCGACAGAAATCAGTTACACAAGAGCGCTCTGCTGTAGGCGTTGACTCAATTTAATTACGTTCATGTTTGTTCAGAACTTTAACATGGAATGAAATGTTTATCTCCATCCATAATCAAAAATATTACCTAACGCTTTGTTTATAAACTAGGATTACAGGTCAGGTAAATGCAGGTCTTAAACTCTCATGAGTCTTTTAATTTGCTTGTCTTTGCTGGAATGTACAAGGTTTACCTAAGTAAACATCCAAACTTAAGAAAATGGTTCCATGGATCAAAATAAAAAGAAAATCAAGAATAACACTTTTCCAAGATCGCTTTTATCCTTGAATTTTTTTTCAACTGATCATTATAAAACATGGTGTTTTTTTCAGTTCAGGTAAAAGATAAAAAAACTATTTTAATCCAATATAAATTTAAAAATGACGGCGATTTTAATTGTGTATATTAAAATTGCTAAAGAATTAGTATTTTTTTAAATAAATTTAGAACATTTTTATTTAGCAATTAAAATATCATATCAAACGACACCAAGTCCAAAGAACAAAAAATAACTGAAATATCACAATTTTGAATTGTAAATTTGCCTCATTTGTTTTGCTTTATTTTCTTGTTGTAGACAGGAATAATATTTTGTTTATGTTTCCTTAAACTTTTAATTAATGCACTTAATTGAGTTTCAGACAAATAATTAAAAAAATATGGCTTTACCTTCGAATAACCTGAAATTGAGATTCATGTGGCAGTACATTGGAGCGATGACAGGTATGCATTATTGTTTATAATTTATAAAAATCGTCAATCATAAACTGTCTTTAATATAAAGATGAGGTGTCTCCTATAGGCCTATAGTGATTGGTTGAGAGTATAATTATTACTAGTACTGTACTATATTTATACTTTTTTCTCATACAATATATAGTATTTAGAGGAAGTATGGTTTTCGTAAATTTTTTGAGGTTGCATTTTAGGTGGAAATATATGTATTGAGTTTCCCTGAATCCAAAAAAGTGGTTTTTGAAGTGATGAATGTGTGTGTGTGGGTGTGGGTGAGCGTGGATGTGTACAGAGCTACCAGCCTAAACATTTTGTCCGATTGTGATGAAATTTGAAAAATATACTGGCATTTTGTCTCCGTTTGTTGAAATTTTGACTTTTTAATTTCATTCTTTATGTTGTTTTTCTGAATCACTAATGATATAATATATTTATGTACATAAGGTTACATTACATTGATCGCCAAGTGATCCATGTAAGTCCGAGGAATAGGATGACGCGTTTCGACGTCAAAGCGTTATTGTTAACATACAAAAACTTGTCTAAACCATATGGTCACGTCACAGTCTTTTCCCGTACGAAACACATAACCGGTACAAAAATACATTTAAAGTAGGCCTTCTAACTAATTCGTGGTGATGTGACAACCGTTTCCCCGAATGAGTTAGTAGGTCTACTTTAAATGTATTTTTGTACCGGTGATGTGTTTTGTACGTGAGTCGAAAAGACTGTGACGCGACCATATGCTTTAGAAAATCTTTTGTATGATTTGACAATGACGATTTGACGTAGAAACGCGTCATCCTATTCTTCGGACTTACATCTCACTTGGCGATCAAGGCAAAGTAACCTTATAAATATATACTGTATATATTATATTATGATTTTTAATGGTGATTTTCCATAAAATCCATTAAATAACGGAAAAATTGTATCATCACAAAACCAGATAAAACGATAAAAACATTTTATGGTTTGGTTTATTTAACTCTAAAAAACGTTAGAACCCCAAATTCTGTAAAAATTACATTCATCAAAATTTTTGTGAATTTCCCATGAAATATAGTTATACTTCCGCCACTTTCCCGTTATAATTGATGTTGACAAGCAAGTGGAGAAAAAGGTCTGTTTGCGGGCAGCCACTTTTCTAACTGAGGAAAAACCACAGTTTAGGTTAGGTTAGTTTAGTTAAAAGCTTTACTCAGTTTTTATTTTTTATTTGCTGAACAGAAATAATCACAAAACCTCAAAAATTACCTAACCTTAACTGTGGATTTTCCTCGGTCGAAATAGTGGCAACCTTCTTACGAAAAAAAGACTCGGAGAAAGTATGTGTCAGTTTTGTTAGTAGTTAACTGATACTATACAGGAATGACCGTTGTCAATATACTAATGCTATACCCCTTATGTAAATGTGTCATTTAAAAATCCAAACTCAATAATTAATTGGACCTTTTGTATGTCATAATTGAGCTTTAGCTTCCTCCCAGACAGCACACTTTCTCCCCAGGACATCCCACGGATATTGCGACAGGATATGCAAGATATCCCATAGTAGTCCTATGGTCAACCTGGGATAGCCCAGGATATCCGCAGGAATGCGTAATGTCCCCGCCCGGGGATGTCCTACGGATCATGGTGGAAGTCGCTACGGATAAGCTCACAGCATATCCGTGGGCAGTGGCGTCATTTCACCAAATGCTTGGGGGGGGGGGGGGAAACACCGGGGAGTATGGAATACCCCCCAGCAAACAAGGGGGGTCCGGGGGTCCTTATTTTAATTGTCAAAAGCACTTCAAATAAAAAAAAAATTATGAGTAAAATTTATTTAAATTTAGGCAGAAAGTTAATGAAACTAAGAATTATTGACAACAGACAGAAACACAATAATTTTATGTTGGTAAGTTAGTCATCTAAGAAACGTGATCAGATCCATGATGTATTAATATTAAGTTTGTTATTAGATTTATGACCAATTTTTCTTGTACAACATTTAGCAATGAATACGGTTGTTTAGAGCCTATAGTTTATAACAGTTTATTTTGGTTTTTAAATAAAATACAAGTATTTAAGAACTTAAAAGCAATTCAAATTTTATCACCAATAAAATAATTTGACACAAAAGTACAAAAGGTTCTATTTAACTATATTAAATTGGTAGTCTACAATGTTCAAAATAAATTACGTAACATTTATACACATGGATAATTTTAATGTTTGAATAATTCATAAAAGTAAATGACAAAGCAATGCTTCTAAAAAATCTGAATTTTTATGTATATATATAAACTAGAAGTATGGTTTAGCGTACAGCACCAAACAGAAAAAGTAAATGAATAACAAAACTACTAATTTATTTAAACTCAAAATGTGCTATCTAAGACAATAAAACAATAATAATTTTTGTTTCAAATTACTGTAAAAGAATATACAGATTTTTGTCTGCTGTGCTTTTTAGGATTTGACAGGGGAAAATATTTGTATATTGGCTAGTACAGCATATTTTTTTCTCTAGACCAGGATCCAGGGGGCAAATGCCCCCCCTGCCCCCCCCCCCCAATGACGCCCCTGTCCGTGGGACATCCGAGGTCATCCCAGGGTAGTCCTCAGGTTCTCAGGACATATGGAACTACTATGGGATGTCCCTGGGATGAAGTGTGGTCTGGGCCTGAACATAAAAAAAAACACAAAATAATATAGATTTAGTATGAAAAGCTTACTGTCGGGGAAATAAATATGTGCACTCGAGTTTGAGCCTAAATATCTCTGAGATTAATTATCCGATTTTGTTGAAACAAAAATTAAATGTAAGCTTGTTTAAATATATTTTACGTGGTAACAATTTAAAAATTTTCCGTTTACCAGAAAAATTTATATAGTTGAAAGATCCTAAAAAGTACCGGTTTTTAAGGAACTCTGCACTAACACTGAAGTTTAAAAATTAATTGTAAACAAACCACTGAGCCAATCTTTCTGAAATTTTTATGGCTTATTGGTAGGTTTATTGTTAACATTTCCATGCATTTTAAAATTTTTACTCACAAAAGTTTTTATGCTGCTGTTAATTTTTAAAACCTATGCTAACATCGTTAATAAGACGCTAAAAATTTCGTTCAAAATACCATCGTGTTTGTCGTGACACAAGAAATAACACCAATATGATAGATTTATAATGCGAACAAAGGCGTTTTTTAAACAGATTTATATTTGTAAACAAAAATTTCTCCCGCGACTGGCAGCGGGCCGCCTGGTGTGCGTACGATATTTCCCAGCCGGGCGGGGGCGCGGCGAATCTGCGACGTTGCCGATGTGTATCTGGCCAGTGGCCACCACACTGACATTGCATCGGTATTAACTCACGGCAAACAACTGTGTATATCAATATTTAGTTTGAAATTTACATAAATTTACTAACAATATATTCTAATTAACTAGTCATGAAACAAATACATTATAATAAGTTAACTATGGTGGTATGAAAAATTAATTTTGTATTACAAGCAACAAGCCAACTGTTTTGTGTTGATTGAGCTAGTTAAAAAATTATAACAGCTAAACGCCAAGTAAATATTTTCCACCAGTATTTATTTTATGGTTTCTTTAATTTGCCACTTTTAAATATACAACTGAGAGTAGAAATCGGAGCGGTCATCACCCTTTCCGGGAAGTGTTGCGTTCAGCTGGAATATCCGATGAGTAATGGAATGTAAACATTAGCTCCCACCTTTCTTGAACTATGGTCGCTATGAGAGATGACTAACCAAGCTAACCAGTTCGTCTTAGATTTTTACACCGGTCGGTAACATCTATTCGAAAATGGCTCCTCGCCGGAATTTTTTCGATGGTGAAATACAGATGATAGTTAGTGCGATTTGTTTCTTTCATGCGGAAAAAGAAAAGTGCTGTGACAAACGTTATCCCGTGTATGATCATGTGGCCAATTGTTTTAACATCGGAACAAGGATAAATGTGGACCAATTTACCGTGGGAGCGATACGAAGGTACTTATATGATTTTTACGTGCAAAAAATGTTTCCAACGATCGAAAAATTAAGGCAGAAGCTAAATATTGATTTTCAAAGTTGTTTGCCGTGAGTGAATAGGCTGCCCATGCAATGTCAGTGTGGTGGCCACTGGCCAGGTACACATCGGCAACGTCGCAGATTCGCCGCGCTCCCGCCCGGCTGGGAAATATCGTACGCACACCAGGCGGCCCGCTGCCAGTCGCGGGAGAAATTTTTGTTTACAAATATAAATCTGTTTAAAAAACACCTTTGTTCGCATTATAAATCTATCATATTGGTGTTATTTCTTGTGTCACGACAAACACGATGGTATTTTGAACGAAATTTTTAGCGTCTTATTAACGATGTTAGCATAGGTTTTAAAAATTAACAGCAGCATAAAAACTATTGTGAGTAAAAATTTTAAAATGCATGGAAATGTTAACAATAAAAATACCAATAAGCCATAAAAATTTCAGAAAGATTGGCTCAGTGGTTTGTTTACAATTAATTTTTAAACTTCAGTGTTAGTGCAGAGTTCCTTAAAAACCGGTACTTTTTAGGATCTTTCAACTATATAAATTTTTCTGGTAAACGGAAAATTTTTAAATTGTTACCACGTAAAATGTATTTAAACAAACTTACATTTAATTTTTGTTTCAACAAAATCTGATAATTCATCTCAGAGATATTTAGGCTCAAACTCGAGTGCACATATTTATTTCCCCGACATTATCAGTTCAGTAAATTGATTAAATAGTTAATAAAAACAAATTTTGAAGAAAAAAACGAGAAAATAGTTTTTGGCCCAGACGGGTCTCGAACCTGGTACCTTCCCCTTATGAGCCTCTTAAGCCCCGCAGACGGGGACAGTAGTGGCGTCCAGTACTGGCGTCCACAAGTGGCGGCCACTGTACTGTCAAGACAGTAGCCCTACACACGGGGACAGTACTGGATGCCACAGAAACTGTTTTAGTGGCGGCCAGTGTGACACCACAGTGTTTTTGTTCAGTATCAAAATGGATGAATTTGAGTTGGAATACGAAAATGCAGTGGATGAAGTTGTTGAAGAAGTTGTCGGTGAAGTAATTAATGTTTTGAGTGAAGAATTGGAAGATATAGTAAATACCCCCGCCACTGCAAAACTGCAGACTAAGCAAATTTTATATTATCCTGATTTGATTTACACTAAAATGCCTCCTTAAAAATATCACATTACCCTATAGAATTAGTTTAACGAGTACTTAGGTTTGCTGCAACAGGGAGGGTAAAAAAGTGTTTTTTGTTGTAAAATGTTAATAGTTTAGTGAGAAATGAATGTATTTTCCAAATTCAATCAAAATATGTTCATAAACAAGCAAACTACAACAGTTGAATTATTCTCCATAAAAACAACAGGGGAATTTTTAATTTACAATTTTTTGGAATTTTCTCCGTAACCATTAGGCACACAATAACGCTTCAATATGCTTAATTATTTGTTTTTTAAGCTATACAAAATTGTTTGGAAAGAAATTGTGAAATTTTTGTTTTTAGGGTCAAAAATGGGAAAACCCTATTTTTACGCCATAAAACACCCCCCATAAACCCCCGTTCCCATAGTCCGATTTTTAGCCAATGGTGATTCCTACCAATCACTCGCTATTTTTTTCGAGTACCAGCAAACACAATTTCAAGTTTCATGTCTGAATGTGTCCAGCGTCTAAGTTATAGGTTAAAACTTAATAATAGGCCTATATTGTACATTTCGTACGGAAATCACGGACCGACAACAGTTTCCTCAGTGCTCTAATTGCGACTAGAACATTTAAGGTTAGGAAACATGGCTGTCAGTAGGTCACGTGACCACGCTACTGTCCTCTGAGCGGCCACTAAACTCAAACTATTTTGTCTTTACTGGCGGCCAGTGGCTACTGGCCGTTGAAGCGTCCAGTACCTCATCACACGTAGACAGTAGGCGGACGATTACTGGCAGCCATTAATGGCTAGGTCTACTGGACGCCACTACTGTCCCCGTCTGCAGGGGGCTTTACCCTACCTCCTGAGCTATCCGCGCTTCATGATTATGAGTATTTTCAAGTGGTGAAAGAGTAGCCGACAATTGCAATGGTCGCAATACTTAAAATATTTTTGATACTACAGTATATAATATGATTCTGTTAATCTCTTTAGGCCTCAAGTAGTTGAATTGTTTTTCTGGTAGTTGGAGAGGATACTGGTATTTGAATATAGATTATTTATTTACCATTAGATTAACACTGTTATAATTGTTTGTTATATGATTAAAATTAGTTTTCGATTATTTTATTAATTTAAAGTTAGAATTAAATACACATTTCACACAACTATGATAGAACTCTAGTTTTCCTGAACTCAGTGGTAGTAATATGTCAGTAAAGTAAAGTCAGCCCTTGCTAGCCACAGTATTAACAAGACATATTTTCAATCTGGGAAACCTTAAACTTTTAAAACTAATTATAAAACCTCATCATCTTAATGCGTGGGAATCTTATTTTATAGAAAAAACAGACCAAAATTACTTGTTAAATAATGAAGACGGCCCAATTAATTATACTCGGAATTACGGAAAATAATTACATCAAGAACAACACTGTAATATATCCAAAATTCAAAAGATTAATTTTTCTAATATCATTTTTTATTTTTTCCAATATCCTTTAAATCATCTGTTTTAACTTTGTCTAAAATTAATTTATTAAGTAAATATTTACTTTATGTACTAGTATAAACACAGCCTGAAGATGGAAACCTAGTTTCTGAAAGCGCTAGTGAATAAAACAAATTATTATATATTGGCCTTGTTGAACATTTAAATTTAGATAAACATTTAATCAGTGGTAGTAGTTTTTTTTCAGTTTGTTATCGGGACATTACAGGATATCCAGTGGATTTTGTACATGTCTTGGGATGTCATGGGACATTCTGGAATATCCTATGGCATTCGTACATATCCCGGGACTTTACAGGATATCCTGAGGTTAACTTACAAATCCCGGGACATTATGGTATATTGTAGGATATCCTGTGGATTTCGTACTCATCCCGGGATATCCTGAGGCTAGCGTACATATCCCGAGACATTCTCAGGACATATGGGACTACTATGGGATGTCCCTGGGATAAAGTGTGCTGTCTGGGCTTGTTTTCTGGAAATGGCACAACATTAGACAAACAAAATATTGGGAGGTAGTAAAATGAATCAGAGATGAGATAACCAACTACTTAAGATATCCAACTACTGTACCTCAAACTGTCAACTATGCTACCGTACACAAACACTGGTCATGCGAGTTTCAACATTAGTCCTTGATGAAGTAACCATATTTTAAACCAATTTTTAGTTTATTTGAGTTAATATACAAGCATGTTTTAATTGTATAAGTTCTGTTTGCATAATTATTAATGAGTTTATGTATACCTGATTATAATTTATTCTTCCGGTTGATTATTGTCAAAACTTTCCTATGGTCTGCACCTGCCAGTGAATGTAGGGAGCGCTCTGAATTTACATCAGCCATTTCCTATTTCTCTTAGTACAATTAATTGATGATCTTCAAACATACTGTATAGGCTTTCGCAGATGGTCTCATGAGACTTCATGGTGGTATTTGGCCTAAACTGCGTCCTAATTCGTAGATTGTTTCCAGACTGTCGCCTAGCACCGAGGATGCCACTTCGCAGTAAGAATGAAACGTCTGTCAGCAATTGACGAATGAGGTCTCAGTTGATGCCAAAATCTCCATTTTGGTCACAATTATTTGCTCCTAATGAATTAGGTTGGATTCCTTTTAGTCTCAGTTTTAATATGCCATTTATATTATATATATATATATATATATATATATATGTGTGTGTGTGTGTGTGTGTGTGTGTGTGTGTGTGTGAAAAATAGAATAATAGGGCTACTATATATAAATAAAGATTAAACATTAATGAACTTAGTACCCAAGTAATATTTTAATAAATAATTTTTACTTGGGTACTAATATTAAGTTCATTAATGTTTAATCTTTATATATATATATATAATACGCGTGTGTGTGTGTGTGTTTTAAGAAAATTATTCCTTTTAAAATAATGAGATAATAAAAATACTTAAATCTATATTATTTGTAATGTTTCAGTGGCATTACCAATGCTGATGCTGGGCATGGCTACCGCTTGGCCATCTCCTACATTACCCAAGATCAAAGAAAACAATGCACCACTCTCCTTGGACCATTCCGAGATATCTTGGGTGGTATCTCTCATGTTCTTTGGTAACACACTAAGCCCTTTACCTGTTGGTCAACTCATGGACAAGATTGGAAGGAAATGGACCTTGTACGTGTTAAACGTAATGCCTCTCACTGCATGGATTATCACGTATTACAGTCCCTCTGCATGGTACTTGTATGTTGCTCGTTTCCTCAACGGATTGGCAGCAGGAGCAGCCTACACAGTATGTGCCGTCTATATTGGAGAGATAGCAGAACCGTCTATAAGAGGGTCAATGTCCAACTTCAACAACCTTTTCAAGACTCTGGGTGGTCTATTAGTATTTATTGTAGGTCCCTATGTGTCATATGAAACTCTTGCTCTCACCTGTGGTCTGGTGCCAGCCTTGTACTTCCTTGTGGCGGCGTTCATCCCGGAGTCTCCATATTATCTTGTTATGATGAACAGAAAACAAGAAGCAAAAGAGGCTCTGAGGTGGTTGCAAAGGAAAGACGATCCAGCTCTTGATCAGGAATTAGCAATGGTAGAAAAAACTGTAATTTCCCAGACACAAAATAAAGGTTCAGTCAAAGATCTGTTCAAAGATAGAGCAAATCGTAAGGCAGTTGGCATTACTATGATCTTATCCGTGGTAAAAAATCTGAGTGGATATGATGTGATGATGGCTTACACCTCCACAACACTTCCTCCTGAGGCATTTAATTCCTTTGGTCCTAATGAATGTGTCATCATCCTGGGAGTGATATCAGTAGTTACATGTATTGGCTCTATATTCATCTTAGATAAATATCCTAGAAGATTTTTACTGACTTTGTCATCTCTAGGGTGCTCAATTATGACACTTCTTCCAGGCCTCTGGTTTTTTCTGAATGATAACACATCAGTCGATGTGTCAGCGTTCGCTCAGATACCATTCTACTGTTTTGCAATACATGCTGTGGTGTACTCAGTGGGCCTTGGACCTATTGTTGCCAATGTAAAGGGAGAACTCTTTTCAGCCAATGTAAAGGCAGTTTGTTCAGCTATGACCAGTATTGTGTTTGCCATTTTAAGTTTTCTTTCTACAAAAATATATCTTATAATTTCTGACTCTATGGGTGTCTATGTGAATTACTTACTATATGCAATAGGGTGTGCTCTTGGAACACTGTTAATCCGTAAATATGTGATAGAAACTCGAGGTAAATCTCTACATGAAATTCAGATCAGACTCAGTGAACGAAACAAGACTACTAGTGTATCTGTTATCTCTCATAGATAACGTAAAAATCCGTTCTTGTGATATACTGAACTAAACAGATTGATTAATGAACTTTTCTCAACAATCCACGCTAGGAGGGAGGCGAGTTGGCAATGGCAAATAGGGTTGGAATGTTGGAAACTGGGAACGAGTAACACTTTTTCCAGCAGCACCTGACATTTAATTTTGAGGGAATTATTAGTCTAGTCTGTCAATTATTATTTTTCTCACAAAAGCCCTTGATTATTACAAAACAATATTTAATGTCTAGTGAATATAAGAAGTAGGAAACTCACCTGGCCCTATATACATATATGTATTCTATAACATAAATGATTAGAACACTGAGCAACACTAAATTTACTCAAACTATCTCTTGTGATTGTAAGGATCTAGTTACCTACTTAAAATATACGGTTCTTTATACAGTAATATCCAAGGTGGTCTAAAAATCTGTACCTTATTTTAATGTTTACCATTAAGACTAAAATAGTTGATATTTATAATATTATATATTATTATATAATAGTACATTTTATTTCGATTGGACACTCCAATCATCATCAGAACAAATAGGCGAATGAACATTGGGTTTTGTCATAGTTTCGTCATTCGCCTATTGGGTCTGATGATGATTGGAGTGTCCAATCGAAATCGATCACCACTTATTTGTTTATTTACCGTCTTGTGAGTAACAGTATATGCGTAAATATACGTTTTAAGTGTTATAAGACGTTTATTTTATTTACTTTCTGCATATTTATCACAATATAATCACGTTCAGTTGATTGACACTTGTTTGAGAACAATGTCGACTTTCTCAAACTCCGTGTCTCTAATGTTACTATGGCTAGGCCTAGGGTAGAAGAAAATGCAAATACACCTGCTTATATTATTATTAATAATAATAATAATAATGCAAATATTTCCTTTTTAATTAATTTTAAATTCTAACTTATTTGAGAAAATTTATTAGTTGAACAATTTAGGGGGGAATATTAATTAATCATATAACAATTATAATTTATATTCAAATAACAGTATCCTCTCCAACTCCCAAAAAAAAAAAAAAAAAACAATTTAATAACTTGATGCCTAAACAGAATCATAGTATCACAAATATTTAAGTATTGCGACCATTTTTGTAGCTGTCGGCTCCTCTTAAACAGCTTGAAAACTAGTAATATCACAATCACAGATAGCTCAGAGGTAAGGTAAGAGGTTCATAAGCCGAAAGTTTCCGGTTCGAGCGAGACCCGTCTGGGGTGAAAAAACTTCTAGTTTTTTTTTTCAAAATTTGTTTTATGAACTATTTGATCATAATACTCAACTGATAAAAGTGCTTTTCAAACTAAACCTTTATTATTTTGTGTATTTATTAAGTATGATATCCTGATGGGATAGCCCAGGGATCAGGATTTGGGTGGACATAGGGATATCCCAGGGAGTTCCCCAGGAAACTCTGAGGACTTTTGTGCGGGATATACAGAGGATATCCCCCATCCCACTGGGATATCCCCTGGTCATTCCAAGGATCTTCTTGTGTTGTGAGGGTCCATATCAGACTGGACTCGTATCTTCGCTGGAGAGTTCAAGTCCGTTTCATTAGGATTCTTAATTGTAGAATAGGATATCGCTATCTTGATGCTCCAGCGAATCTCGTCAGATCCCAGTTCAATCTATGCCAGGGGTGCCCAGAAGAGGGGGGGGGCATGGCGCAACTTGCACCATCAGAATTTTGGGGGGGGGCATAATTTTGTTCTTGTTGGGATTTTGATTTTTGTGAAGGATTTTATTCCCTGCAAAAAATTACAGAAAAATTACAAAAAATATACTACTGGAATCATACGCAACAATACTGTTTATATTAATACTATTTATATTATTTATTTAAAATCCTTTAATCAGGATTACCAATGTCCAGTTTGCCGTTTAGACCAATTTTCACGTCAATACGTAAATGTATTGCTCTGGTTAAGTAAGAAGACGGTTGGTAGGCCTAGTGGCTCAACTGGCAACTCTGTCTCGCTGTCTGTCACAGCCATATGTAAATTATGAGTTTGGCAAAATTCGTATGAATCGTGTTTTTTACATTTGTACCTTATAATTTTGCATGAATCACGATAAATAATTGATTTATTTAGTCATTGCTTTTGACAATTATTACATTGCGTAGAATACTTATTCTAATATTTAGTAGGCTACAATAGGGAGGTTACATAGTTGTTATCAAATGACACTGTAAGATATATAAAACTACTTAAATAGAGCTTATAAAACTCATTCAGATCATATTTCTTAAATAAGGCTATTATTGATTTTATTAGCTTTTTTGTCATACTCTTGTAATTTAATCCTTAAGGATACAATTTACAAAATCAGCAATATAACTCGTTCCAAAGTTTAATGAAGTAAGATTCTGACATTATACTATATTTACCACTAAGATTTTATAATTTCACAATTTATTTAGGCCTAATGCAAAACATCTGGTTTCAGTATACAAGATAATACCCCCATCATTATTGAAAGAATATTAAATCAATGCATCACTAAACTTTGTAAATTAGAATACATTACATATATTTGTCATTGCAGGTTTGCAAAGGATACTACAACAATGTTACCGTATATTCGGACTGTATGATACACTGCAAAATGTACCTCATTAGTCTTATTATATGTATCAAACAAATTAGTGACTATTTTATTCATACTATTGAAGGTTTGACTGTAGTGTAGGCCGGTGCAAGGTGTTTTTTGTTGGACTGGACTTGCAAGAGTAATTTTGGCGCCCCCTGATATATAAACCCACTCCTATTTACATGAATCCTATCATTGACTATATAGTCAATGATCCTATCTATATAATGAGGTAGGCCAATAAGTAGTTTTCGAAGAGTATATATTTAATGCAATATATGCAAATTTTGTTCCCAATATCGTTTTTAAAGACACACTCCCACTTATTTTACTTTTAAACTCACGTCTACGTAGATGTGCGATGTGCAAACTGATTTAGATTTTATTATTTAAGCCATTAAACTCGATAACACCGCATAAAACAAATTTGCAAATTACGAGTAGTTTTGTCATACTGCAGCAAAAAGTCATTTTTAATAAATACATTTGCGAGTCTAATGTGGCTCTTTTACTCCATCTGGAGTAAAAAGCCTTTTTAGCGCCAATGGAGTTAATCAGACTCAGACGGGCAGATAAAAGAGAAAAGAGTCACCTTATGCCCTAGAGATGAAATTTTCATTTTTTCATTTCAAGTAAAACATGCCCACCCGCTTATCCTATGAACCACATCCAGCTGTTTTCTTAATTATCGATAGAGATAGGGACGCATCAGGGCGTATTTTAACTTGAATGTAACCAAAATCACAGAATTTAGATTAATCTACCCAAAATTGAGCAAAAGAATGAGTGTGAAATTTGTTTTGTTTTAAAATACGGGAATCAGTTTACCTATTGTGTTTTCTTTATAAACTCAATAGTAATAGATGTTGCCCTTAAGAGACGAGATGAGAACAAATAATTTTAAGCAAAATGTTAATTCAAAAATGTGTAGGGGTGTTCAACTCAACGGGGAAAGGTTTGTGAATTCTACATACATTCTTTATCCGAAAAATTGTAACTTTTTAATTACAATATAATTCACCACAAAACAAAATTTGTTCTCTCTTCAGGTAGTTGTCTCACGAAAACCGTGTACTTATGCATAAGATAACGACCACGTGTCTATAATACACGAGAAATAATCACAACGTTGCCGTGATCAATGGAGATAACAACGACCATAATCGCAGGATATGACAAAGACTGTTGCCGTGAAGTCCGTTCTCAGAGTTTTTGCTGGTTGCTATCTAGAGAATAGAAGTTTGCAAATTTGCCGTGAACTTGGGGAAATTACACAGAGGCGGCGATTGGGCAAAAGAATGAGTGTGAAATTTGTTTTGTTTTAAAATACGGGAATCAGTTTACCTATTGTGTTTTCTTTATAAACTCAATAGTAATAGATGTTGCCCTTAAGAGACGAGATGAGAACAAATAATTTTAAGCAAAATGTTAATTCAAAAATGTGTAGGGGTGTTCAACTCAACGGGGAAAGGTTTGTGAATTCTACATACATTCTTTATCCGAAAAATTGTAACTTTTTAATTACAATATAATTCACCACAAATCAAAATTTGTTCTCTCTTCAGGTAGTTGTCTCACGAAAACCGTGTACTTATGCATAAGATAACGACCACGTGTCTATAATACACGAGAAATAATCACAACGTTGCCGTGATCAATGGAGATAACAACGACCATAATCGCAGGATATGACAAAGACTGTTGCCGTGAAGTCCGTTCTCAGAGTTTTTGCTGGTTGCTATCTAGAGAATAGAAGTTTGCAAATTTGCCGTGAACTTGGGGAAATTACACAGAGGCGGCGATTGGGCTTGAGAGGTGGGGGGGGGGGGCGAAATCTAGATTTATTGTTGACATAAGTCTATTTTATAATTTTGATAAATATTCCTTTTGAAAGTGGTGGGGCAACTGCCCCTCCTGGCCCCCCCTAAACGCCGCCTCTGAAATTACAAACTGTAATTCAATAGCGATAAAAATTCTGCTTCTGTTTCAAAAATCGCAAATGTTTGTGGTATAGTCCTTATTTGTTTGGAGTCAATTGTGAAGCCTAAAAAAACACGCTAGGTGTTCGTTTTTACTGACATATACATACTGACTAATTTTATAAATTGAAGGGTGTAGTGTGGATGTCATTCTTTGGGGGGCATTTATTAGGCTTGGTTTGGGGGGGCATGCACCATTGCCCTTGGGGGGGGGCTGGGCACCCCTGATCTATGCAGCTTGGAAGATGGGAGGAAAATTTCGGACGCTTTGTTATCTCATGAGGATTGCAAAATGGAACCGTCGACTGCCCTGAGCTGTTGGGAGGAATACCATTCCACGTTCCTATCCGTAAGATCCAAGGATACGTTTGAGTGGCGGCACTACAATACGAGGTTGGTGCAGTATTGGATTTTCCCCATTCCAGCAGGGCTGCTTTCCGTTCCAAATTAATTTGTGTCGCCTCTTCTCTGTAAATACTTTATAGTTAATGCCTACATTATGTTAACGGAACTTTGTTCTAACCTTCGATCAGCTGATTATTTTTGTCTATTTAGATCTTTTTTGTTATGTTAAGTCTTGAGTCTTGCTTAGGGAATTCCAAACCGTGTATTTAAGTGTTGTTTGGTTATTGTTTCACGCAATTTATCATGGTTTCTAACTTCATTGTTGGTTTGTTTTTCTTGTTATTGTTATTTATTCAGTCATAGCCTTTATTTGTTGTTAATAGTTTTAGTTTGATATAGCTTACCCAAGTAGCACACATCGTTGGCCCAACGTTGGGAAATGGTCGGCATGTTTGGGAAATGGTTGGCAGAAATTTTAACGATTTGCCAACGTTGGCCCAACGGAAA